GGGTTCTAGTCCCGGTCGGGGCGCCGGATTCTGTCCTGGTCGCTCTTCTTCCTGTCCAGTTCTCTGCTGTGGCCCAGGAGTGCAGTGGAGGATGGCCCAAGCACTTGGGCCCTGCACCCGCATGGGAGACCAGGAGAAGCACCTGGCTTCTGGCTTCGGATCAGCGTGGTGCACCAGCCACAGCAGCCACTGGGAAGACCTTTCTTTCTGTCTCTCTCACTGTCCACTCTGCCTGTCAAAAAAAAAAAAAAAAAAAAAGACTGGCTTTTTTCTATATCTTACCAAGCAAATTAGGGCGGACATTAGATCTACTGGTTAAGATGCTGGTTGGATGCCCACATCCCATACTGAAGTGTCTGCGTTGAGCCCCAGCTCCATTACCAATACCAGTTTCCTAGAAGGCAGCAGATGATGGCTCAGCAGGTCAGTACCTGCCACCAATATGGGAGAGCCAGACTGAGTTCCTAACTCTGGGCTTCAGCCTGGCCTAGCCCCAGCCATTGCAAGAATTTGGGAAATGAGATAATGGATGGGAGTGCTCTCAAATTTATTTTTTTTAAATGTTTGTTTATTTATTTATTTGAAAGGCAGAGTTACAGAGAGGCAGAGGCAGAGAGAGGAGAAAGGTCTTCGACCTGCTGCTTCACTCCCTAAATGGCCACAATGGCTGGAGCTGGGCTGATCCAAAGCCAGGAGCTTCTCCCCACTCTCACATTGGTGCAGGGGCCCAAGGATGTGGGTCATCTTCCACTGCTTTCCCAGGCCACAGCAGAGAGCTGGATTGGAAGTGGGGCAGCAGGGAGTTGAACCGGCACCCATATGGGATGCCGGCACTGCAGGTGATGGCTTTGCCCGCTATGGCACAGCACTGGCCCCTCAAACTCACTTTAAAAAAGCAAGCAGGTTTATAACTGATTTTTGCATGTGGAGGAGTTATTGAACTCATTTTTCCTCTTAATGAGAGGACATGGATACTTTATAATGGTAAAAAGTCTGGGGTTGGTATTGTGATATAAAGCTGGTTAAGTTCCGACCCACAACGCTGGCATCCCTTGTGGGTTTGAGCCAGCATGAGTCTCGGCTGCTCTGCTTCCAATCCAGCGCCCTGCAGGAGCTGGACCTCCAGCAGCTTGGACCCCTGCCACCGTCGTGGGAAACCTGGATGGAGTTCTAGGCTCCGGGCCTTTGCAAGCCATTTGGGGAGTGAATCTGCAGATGGAAGTACTCTCTAAAAACTCTACCTTTCAAATACCTAAATGTTTTTAAAAGTAAATATATCTGAAATATAACAAATATAAAGTATACACACTTAACAGGAGTCCCAAAATACATGAGGCAAAAACTGACAGAACCGGAAGGAAAAATAGACAAATCAATAATTTAAAGATTACTATATCCCACATTTAATAACAGAATAAGTAGAAAATCGACAAGACTTTAGCAGACTTGAATGATGCTGTCAACCAAACTGACCTGATATAAAATATACATATATTATTAAAATCTATGCATGGATCAAAATATTACATTGTACTGCATAAATATGTGTACATATGTATTTTCAACTAATTGAAAAGCAAAATGAATGATCTTCCAGCCACAGGTTCACTCTGTAAATGCCTGCAACAGCCAGAGCAGGATCAGGTCGAAGCCAGGAACCCAGAATTCCATCTGGGTGGCAGGAATCCAAGCACAGGGCCATCACATGCTGTCTGTTTTGGATTAGCAGGAAGCTAGATCATAGCAGAGCAGCCTGAACTTGAACTGGCACTCTGACTTGGGATACGGGTATGTCAAGCGGCAGCTTAACCTGCTGCACCACAATGCCTGCCCCATTTTTGAGCACTCCATCTAACAAGAACTGAACATACATTCTTTTTGGGTCCATGTGAAATGTATTCCAGGACTGGCCACATGCTAGGCCATAAAACAATTCTCAAGGAATTTAAAAGGATTGAAATCATTCACAGTATATTCTCCAGCAACCAAGGAGTTAAAAACAGAACTCTGGAAAATCCTCCATTCTTGAAAATGGAAGCAACATATTTCAAGATGACCAATAGGCCAGAATATAAATCACAAGGGAACTAATGAAAAACATAAGAGGCGGAGCTTAAACAGGGAAATTCACAGCTTCAAACATTGACATTGGAAAAACACATCAGTGATCTAAACTTCCATTTTAAGAATATAGAAGAGTAAATTAAGTCTAAAAACATAAAATAAGGATAAGAGGGTAAAACCAATGAAATAGACAGAAAATAAGAGAAACCAAAAGTTCTTAAGGAATTAAAAAAGAAAATCCAAACACTTGATAAACCATTAGCAAGACTAAGAGAAAAACGACACAAAATACCACAATCAAGAATGAAAGGAGACAACACTGCTAATCCTACTGAAATGAATGATGAAAGTTATGCAAAAAATCTAGATAAAATGGCAAAATTCCTCAAAACCAAAAACTACCAAACATGACTAAAGAACAAATGGAAACCATAACAAGAAAATTACTTAAAAATTCCGAAGCCCAGGCTAAATACTTTCTCCTACTTTAATCCAAAGGAGAAATATCAACCCTAAACCAATTTTTTCATAAGAAATGAAGTGAGGGAACACTTTCCAACAAAGAGAAAAATATCACAAGAAAATAAGAGAACAGTAACTCCTATATAATATTACAGTAACTCCTATATAATATTAGCAAATAAAATCAGCAGGATAAGACAGGATTAAACACCACTGTGAAGTGAGATTTATGCAACCATATCTAAGGGGCTTTTTTAGATTTTAAAATTTTATTTATTTTTCATTTACTTGAAGTAGGGGAAAGGTGGGGGTAGATAGAAAGATCTTCCATCCACAGGTTCACACCCCAAATGCACACAACAGCCAGGGCTGGGCCAAGTCAAAACCAGAAAACTGAAACTCTATCAGGGTCTCCCATATGGGTGGGAGGATCCAAGTATTTGACTCATCACCCAAGGGTGTGTGCATTAGCAGGGGCTGGACTTGCTTTGCACCCCAGCATTGTATTACTGGATGTGGGTGTCTCAAAGGCACGCAACTGCTGTACCATGAGGCTCACTCCCCTAAAGTCTTCGGTTAAGGTATACTAAGACAGTGGATACTTAACCCAATTATGGTATTCAGAGGCACACCCTTTGGAAAGTAATTGTTACCGTGAAGCCCTTGTGATCAGATCATGGTGGCTTCACAAGGAGAGATTCACTGCCAGCAAGAATGCCATCACCAGATGCTGAACCAGAGGCCATGGATCTTTGACTGTGAACCTTCAAAACCATGAGCCAAAGTAAACCACCTTCCTTGGTAACCATCTTTTCCTAGGTATTTCATTGTAGAAACAAAAAGCTAATGCAGGGAATAGAAATTCAGCTGGTTTAGAGGTTTTCCTAGAGTGAGAAATCTCAGTCTTACTACTGGGTAAAAGGCATTGTCTCCACAGGGAAATGTCATCTTTAAAAAAAAAAAAAAAAAAGATTTATTTGAGGGACCGGCACTGTGGCACAATGTGATGGGCCACTGCCAGCATCCTATATGGGCACCAGTTCAAATTTCAGCTGCTCTACTTCTGACCCAGCTCCCTGCTAATGCACCTGGGAAAACAACAGAGAATGGCCCAAGTGCTTGGGCTCCTGCCTCCCATGGGGGAGACCCAGAAGATCCCGAATCCTGGCTTTGGCCTAGGCCACCCTGGCTGTTGCGGCCACCTGGGGAGTCAGCCAGCGGATGGCAGATCTCTCTTTCTGTGTAACTGACTTTCAAATAAGTTAAAAAAAAATACTTATTTGAAAGGCAGAGTTAGAAAGGGAGAGGCAGAGATCTTCATCTGCTGATTCACTCACGAGATGGCTGCAATAGCTGGGGTTGGACCAGGCCAAAGCCAGGAGCCCAGAGCTTCCTCCAGGTCTTCCATGTGGGTGCAGGGGCCTAAGCACTTGTGTCATCTGCTATTGCTTCCCCAGGTGCATTAACAGGGAGCTGTTTCAGAAGTGGAGCAGCCAGGTCTTGAACTGGTGCCCACATGAGATGCTGGCATGCAGATGGTGGCTTTACTTGCTACAATGCCAGGCCCACAAGTAAGACTTGAGAGTTGGTGTGTTCCTTGCTACAGCTGCTTGTCAATTCAAGCACTGAAATCAGTGCTAATTTTTAGGCTTGGCTGTATCTGCTCACCAGTTAAGGGGACAGTTTTCTAGGCTCCAAACATTTCCCTGCTAGGTTCTTGCTTTTAGAATGATCAAGCCTGAAGAAAATGCTCCCTTGACCACCACCTAAGTCAGCCTGCTTCTGGATGGAAAAACATACAGGATCAGCCCCAAGTACAATTCATAACATGGCTGGAGTGAGAGGAGAGGAAGCTATAGTAACTGCTTCCAGGAAGTATCTGCATACACCTGAACTCTCATATCCCTCTCTAGCAATTGGAAAAAGAATTAATCTAGAAATGATAGTGCTTAGGGAGTTCTTCATTTCTGCACCTGCCCTTCAGTTCAGAAGTACTTCTTGCAACCCACAGCATATGTCAAATCTGCACTATAAACAAGGTAAAAACAGTGCTGCTTTTTTTACTTCATGATAAAGCTTTTTTAAATCTCCAAGTATTGTTTCTGACAAAAGAAAAACAAGCCACTGAAGTCTCTGGATGTCACAGGTGATCTTCAGTTAATATTTGTGTTATTTCAGAAGTTCAGAATAATATTTTAAATAATAAAACAGGGAAACAGCTATGTACTTGTCTTCTTCAGCAAACTTTGTAAAACCCCTTTTCTCTAAATCAAAGGACCAAAATTTGTGAGTACCTATTTCCAGAAAAAGCATATCTAAATTGTCTGCAGCCTCATTAAACATGCCAATTTCAAAAAAAAAAATTGGCTGACCATACATACAAAGAGTAAGCTTGTATTTTTTTTCCTGGTATCAAGCATGATGTCAATATAAGACTTCTATATGATAAACTACAAAAGAATTCATAGCAATGCTACAGATCATATGCAAGTTTATTTAAATAATTTAACACTACATAGTGAGCCAATTTGTAAGTATAAAAATATATGGTTTAGCAACCAAATATAAGCACCACACAGAAGCACATTACACATATACCATCAGGCCTTTGGAAGATTAAGGCAACATAAATATCCCAAACAGCTTTATGAGAATGCTTTACTCATATAATAGATGTTATTAAAACATCTCAAGATAGGCAGAAATCCACAATTTTTCAGTATGAAGTCTTTCCTTGTAATTTGATCAATATGTTAATGATTCTTCTTAAAAACTGTTCAGTGATTAATCTAGATTGACAAATGGGCTATCAAAGCCACTATCTTGTTGGCTAGACAGGGGAGGAATTAACTTCCTTGCAGGCTGTCGACACATTGAAGTTGGCACTGTCCTGCTCAGTGTTTGGAAGTCTGACTTTAAGTTATCAGCCTTAGGATGAGGTGGGTGTCCAAGAGTCACACTGATCTTCCCTAGCTGGGAATACGTGGTTTCTTCTGACAGGTCTGGAACATGATCACTCTGACATTTCATTGGTTGACAAACCATATTATTTTTCTCTGTATCTGAAAGACAATTGGTTGCTGAAAACTGTTTGAAATGAACAGATTCACCCAGTATATCCAAGGTGTTTTGCGGCCTACTGTGTAAAAATGACACTTCGGGGCTGTTACAGGGTAGAGTTGCACTGGTGGGATGGCAGCCTAAGGAGTCACTAGGGTCCCCTCCATCCTTTACCGGAGTTTCCTGAACACCCAGGCTTTGGCTTTCCTCGGACAGAGCATTTTCACTTGCCATTAGTGAATTGTGTGTGTATCCTTTCAAAAGAGGCTTTTCCTTAGCACCCTGAAAGGTGATGTGTGTGGATCCTGATTCAAAAAGACCAGGGGCACATCTAGGTGAGGGTTTATTTCCAAAGGTTCCAGGGCAGGGGTATGTGGCTGAGTGTGGAAGTGACTCAGAACCAGTATCTCTGAGTAGGTCTTTCTTCTTGTGCAAACCAAGGCCTCCTTCACCTTCGCATGGAACAAACTCAGGAGAAACATTCTTGGGCAAAACATCTAGGTGCTTGCCACTACTATCTCCAAACTGAAAGTCCGAAAGGGACCCTTTGGAACCCACATGTTTTGTGTCCCCGTGCTCCGAGTCCTCTAACCGCCGTCGTAAGTTACAAGCAGCCCTCCTCTTAGGAACTTGCTCACACATACTTTTGGGGATACTTTTGACGCTGTTTGATCTGCTTTCAATGTAACGTGCTGTATTCTGAAGCACTTCATTTCTTTTTGATTTTTCAACTCCAATCAGTGTCTCCGAAGCCAGGGGCAGGGCTACTATAAGCAAAGGAACATAAAAGTAAGAGAAAATGAACATTTAAAGGAACTATATCAATGCTAAACAGTTAAAAAAATTTTTACATATATCTGCTAAATAAACCAGGGTAATTTTGTTAATGACATCTAATATATTATTGCCATTCATTTGATCACTTTCTACAACAATGCTTTTTAAGAAGCAATTGCAATTTTTTTTTAACCTATTCCGATTCTGGTGTCAGGAATGGAGTTTTTGATGAAGGAAGTTTGCTAGAAGAGTCATGTACCTAGACCTATCTGTGTGTGTGCACACATCTCTCTATAAAATCTGTTTTCTGATTTAATTGGGTAGGACACTATGTGGCCACACAGCATAGAATTAGAAGCACTGTAATTCAGTCCACTAGAAGTTCATTTCCATGGGGCCACTATTTACACACTGTTGCCTCTAGTCTAGAACATTACTTTCTTATTCAATGCCACTGTCCTAAGAGTAATATCACCATTCCAAAACTTACACAATCAGTTTTCTTCTCCATGAGGAATGGTTAACAACATGCTGAATTTCCAGATAATCTCTGCTTCAGGTTCTCAGTAGTTCAAAAAGCCCATTTTCCTACAAATACTCCTGTGTTAAACATCTCCCGGGGTGATCAGGAACTCACCAGTTGTTTTTCACATATTTCTACCACCCTGTGCTTCATACACTTCGAGTCTAAAGCTATGTTGTTACACACAGAAACAACTCATAGTTTCTTGGGAGATTGTTCCTATTAAAAATTATCTTTGCTCCTTTTAGTGCTCTGATTCATCTAATACTATATTTATAAGTCATCTAATATCAATATTGCATTTGCCTGGCATGCCTTTCCCTACTCTTTTGGAATTTTAGGTGGTATTCTTGTAAAAATGGCAAATGTCCATATTTTATAAAACCCTGTTTGAAACTTGTGGCTTTTTAGCATTGTGATGCTAGAGGGGAAAGCCACCGGCAGGCATGATATGGGCAACAGTTCATGTCCTGACTACTTTACATCCAATTCATCTCCCTGCTAAGGTGCCTGGGAAAGCAGAAGATGGCCCAAGTGCATGGGCCTCTGCACCTAATGTGGAAGACCCGGATGAAGCCCCTGGCTTCTGCCTGCCACAGTGCTGGCTATTCCGGCCACCTGGAGAGTAAACCAGCAGATGGAAGATCCCTCTGTCTCTCCCGCACTGTAACTGACTTTCAACATAAATAAATCTTTAAAAATCAATTTAAAAAAGAAAGAAAATTATGGCCTTTAAAAAAAATGTTTACTTGAAGGCAGAGTTACAAAAAGAGGCAGAGAGAGAGAGAGAGGTCCTCCATCTGCTGGTTCACTCCTTGACTGACTGCAATAGCAGGAACTGTGCTGATCCAAAGCCAGGAGCCTCCTCTAGGTCTCCCATGCGGGTGCAGGGGCCCAAGGACCTGGGCCATCTTCCACTGCCTTCCCAGGCTGTAGCAGAGCTGAATTGGAGTGGAGCAGCCAGGACTTGAACCCGCTATGCCACAGCACCAGCTCTGTGGTCTTTTAATAATAAGCAAATTTAACCTATTCACATTTACTATGATTGCTAATGTTTCAATCTACTAAGAGTTCTATTTACCCAGATTTTCTAATTCTTTCTTCTTTCCTGATTTTGCTAGGCTAAAATGCTTTCTTCCAAGTTTTTCCCCAACCAATTTGAAAATTATATATTCTACTTCTTTGTTACCCTTGAATTTTAATATACTTAAACCTGTATTTTTCCACCAATGACTACATTTAATAGAGTCTATACTCTCTTCATGAAAATGGTGAAAATCTGAGCATAATTTTAGTTTCTTCTACCATTTCTTCCTACATTTTTCAAGAAAATTATACTTTATAATACTCTCAGGTCTTTATTGTTTTAGTTTCATGTCTTATCATGGTGACAGATTTCTGTAAATATATGGTGAGTCTTGATTAAGCAAGCAGCACAGATATGGTATTTAGGACATTTAAATGGCAAGCAGTTAGAGGCTGGGAGAGGTAGAAAGATCCATTAGGTGGCATGGGGGCTCCCAGTTATTTCTTGGTGTGGCTAGCCACCTAGCACACTGCCTGCTCTCACACGCTTTGTTCTTAATGCTGCTGCCCAGTATTGAGGTTGGGGAACGGAGGGGAAAGGAAAAACAGAGGGTGGCCCCACTGGTTGCATTGGTACCCTCAAGGCCCACTACTTCTCCTGGGCCATCTCCCCTCCATATGTGGAACAATTCTGATATTGTTCCTAATTGTGCCTGTCACCTTCTGGCTGCTTTGAACTGAGGTTTTCATCTGTAACTCTACACTATCTTCTTTTCTACAGCATCTGGTCTATCCATGGCAACTATATAAGTTCAGTTATACTTTCACCTTTTTCTTATCTTAGAAAAAAATTTTACTTGTATGGGCAGAAGCAACAATGGGAAGCTTCCTATTTAAACCAGAAATTTGCATAAATGAATGTAGAGTTTTCTAGTTCAAATAAATCACACGCATATAACTTTATAATTTAACTCTTACTCCTTACATTTCCTGTAGTTTTTCATACTAAAAATATTTAATATCCAAAAAAGACAGAAAAACCATTCAAGTGACTCATTGTGACATACCTGACTGTGTAAGTTTGCTCTGGGATTTATTAGAAATAGGCGTTTCCAGCAATTTTGCCATTGTAGCAAGTTTGCTAGCAGCATTCATAATCTTTTTTTCAGCCCTGTGGGGAATTCCAGAATATTGAATTAAAACAATTTAAATGAAAAAATGAATTCTCTTAGCCCCAAGATTTCTGTTTTCCTATTAGCTCTGCCAACACTTAGGGTAGCACAACAGTTAAGTCTCTCATAACCCCCAGTGGCTGATCATGTAGAAACAGGTAATATTGTGGTCAAGGAAAATGTTTAGAAAATGACAGCAAGTTGTCTTTGACTCTTAGGACACAACTTTTACAATGAACTTACCCTTCTTCTTTTCCATTATCCTGCAAAATCTGTTGGAGGCAAGTCAAATAATATTTGCGCATCTTTCGGGCAGTATCTTGGCGTTCTCGCAATACCTCTGCTTTTACCATTTCCGCAGCTCTTTCCTTACTCTCCTGAATGTAACGAAGCATGTCACCTACAGTGGGGTGAGGGGATACCCACAGAATGCAGGTTCATTAGCACTGATTCAGAAACAGGAGGGGCTGCCTTCAGGCCCCAATTTTCTGCGAGAGAGAGTTACTGGAGGTACAACTGAAACTTTCCATAGTCATGTAAATGGAATACTTCAGATCCCACTTTGATAGACTCAAAAGAGAATTAGTAAGTCTTTCTGGAATGATGACATAACATACGGCAAGGAAACACGATAAGCTCCCCAGGGAAATTCTGTCATATTCTAAAACACTTAGCAAGAAAATACCCAAACTACTAGGCACAGAAACATGTATTCCAATTGTACATTACGTCCATTTAAGAGAAAGAGGAAATTATAGAAAGAGTGAGGAAGAAAGGAGACACTAAAAGGGCGGAGAGGAGGCAACAGGAGCTGAAGAGACTCATATTCGTCGCTTGTGCTCTGAAAGTCCACTTTCCATCAATTCTCTCAGCAGCGCTTACTGAGCACCTTGCTAAATGTAATCTCAAACCATGGGAAACAGGTGCAAAAGGCTACTGTAAGGAGGGTGATGAGATGTCGGTGTGAATGTGAATTTCAGAAGGTAATGTAAACTCTCAGCTCCAAGCTGTTGTTGCTGTTGTTTTTAAAGATGTATTTGAGAGGAAGAGAAACAGGGAGATCTTCCATTCGCTGGTTTACTCCCCAAATGGCCCCAATTGCTACAGCTGAGCTGATCAGGAGCCAGAAGCTTCTTCTGCGTGCAGGACTATTCCCAGGTGTATTAGCAGGGAGTTGGATTTGAAGTGGAGCAGCCAGGACTCAAATCGGTGCCCATTATGGGATGCTGGAGCCACAGGCTGCAGTTTTACCCACTACACCATAGCACTAGCCCCTCGAGTTCTCTCTTTAATGTAACATGGTTTTGATCAGAACCACTTTTTGAATAAAAAATGTTAGCCCTAAGACTGCATCTGTTATATTAGCCAACCCATTCATATGGAAGTCTCCCTCTTAATGTCAATAACCATCTAAAAATTACATGCTCTATGCAAAAATATTAACTGGGAGACTTTTTCATTGGAAAAATGAAAATGGAGCATATATCAATATAAAACCTCCAACCAACTTTGTAAAAATATATCTAAGACCCAGTACACACACTTACCCAAGTGGTAGGATGAAAAAAGCTTAAACTTCTACTTCTCAGTTAACAAATTACAAGTATTAACAAAAAGTTGCCATGTTTGTAATTATTGCTGATACTAACAAAATATGTTACTATAAAGAAAATTCCCTTTGAGTTTTCTAGAACATCTATCATGTATAGATCTATCATCTATCATGTATAGATGTTCTACCAATTATATTAGGTATTTGAGATCTTTCCTGCTCTTTGTTAAAAATGAATATATTTTTACAAAGTAAATTCATTTTCCTATTCAAATGCTGGCTATTGTATTAAGACACACATCCCCTTCTATGCAATTTTGTCATTAAAAACCAGGAAGTATTATACACTGGGAAACTGTCAGGGCAAGGCTCTCAGAGCATGCTGGCACCACCTGGTATGGACAAGAACTGATAAAAATACACAGCTCTGAGGAATAATAATGACAAAGAAATGAATCTAGTTAGCAATTGTTCGATCTTACCATAGGAAGTAGTAATTACTAATTAAAAAAACTCATGTGACTTATTTTGCAAGTTATTTAAGCTGTGAGGTTATCAAATTTTAGTTTACAAAAAAGAAATGGAATAATCAACAATAAAAAAAAATATCTGAGGGCAAGTGGTTGGCTCCTTGTCACCATGTAGGAGACCTGGATTGAGTTCTTGGATTCAGCTATGCTTAACTTTGCCATTGAAGGAATCTGGGGAGTGAACACACAGAAGGAAGTTCATTTCTCTCTCTCTCAACCTCTCAAATTAATAATTGCTTTTAAGTCTGAAAAGAATTAACTCTACTTTCATACTTCCATGTCACTTCCAAAATATATTATACTTGGACAAAATTAGCCACTGCATAATTTTGAAAAAGCATCACAACTCTAAGATTAAATAATAAAATAGTTTGGAAAGTTCCCAAAAAGTACTACTATTGGTAAACTCCAAGTTTTCATTCAACAACCACAATTTTAAAAAGGTCCAAACTTCAAAATAACGGGAGTCTGTCTAGGAACTTACGTTTAATTTTTTTTACAGCTTTTATGTACTGCCCACGAAGTTCCTCTAAGGCTTCCCTGTGGCATGGCAGGCAAGGATTTTCAATGGCCCCTTCTGACAAAGACCTAAAAACAAACCAAAGGTTGCAAAGACAGTGTTAGTGAAAAACTTCATTTGAAAAAAATGTGTATTCATGCATTCAAAGGAAATCAACTGAGATGTGCTAAAATTCATACCCAAAGACCACTACCATAGTTATTTAAAATGGGGGGGAGGAAGGATGGACACAACTTCATTATTACAGATGCTTAAATATTGGTAAATCCACAGGATAAAAATGTAGGTATTGAAAAGCATACAGTATTGCCGGCGTCGCAGCTCACTAGGCTAATCCTCTGCCTGCGGCGCCGGCACACCGGGTTCTAGTCCCGGTCAGGGTGCCGGATTCTGTCCCGGTTGCCCCTCTTCCAGGCCAGCTCTCTGCTGTGGCCTGGGAGTGCAGTGGAGGATGGCCCAAGTGCTTGTGCCCTGCACCCCATGGGAGACCAGGAGAAGCACCTGGCTCCTGCCATAGGTTCAGTGCCATGCACTGGCCGCAGGCCGCAGGCTGCGGCGGCCATTGGAGGGTGAACCAACGGCAAAAAGGAAGACCTTTCTCTCTGTCTCTCTCTCTCACTGTCCACTCTGCCTGTCCAAAAAAAAAAAAAGCATACAGTATTTAACATGGGAAAATGTTTAATAACATCAAATGAATAAAAGATTACATAATACTTTCTGCAATAACCCCAATTTAAATACACTGTGCCCAGGACATGCATGTGTAAAGAAGCTTAAATTATTTAAGAAGTTAACAGTGTATCTTCTGGAGATAGAAAATCTCCCAAAACTTTTTTATACCTTTTGCTACATAACCAAAGAAATAGTTGATAGCTTCAAAAACATCAAAATGGTTAGAAATAAACAGTCTCTTTAAAATGGTAAAAGTCTACCTTGGTGGTGTTTTACAAAGTGCTTGCATTTCTTGCAATTTATTCTTCATGTCACTGTTTTCTTCTATTAATTCTTCAACAACTTTGTTATTCTCTTCTACAAAGGAAAGTTTATAGTATAGTAGTCAGTTCCCTTTTTTTCCAGTCTTCCTCTTCCTTAAGTGCCTGACACACATGTTTATAAAGACGGCATAATTCTAGTTGCTCTCCTGTGTTATCAATGCCCTGATAAACTCTAGTCCGATCATTCCCTATTCTGTCATCTCAGCACTCAAGATCTGTATTCCACCTTCTTGCTTAGGGTCACACATCGTCCTGGAATTTGTTTCACAGACATGTGTTTTATTTTCCTGCTAGATGTGCTCTGTTGAAACCTAGTAGGATTTCTAACTCAAGTTCTACCAGGGATCCTGGTGTTCAAGCATCTCTATAAAATAAAAACCTTAAGTAGGTGCCATGCTCAGAAATAATGTAAGATTTTCAACTTTTTGGACCTTCAGAAAGATGAAAATGAGAGAGTCTATGTGGTATAAAAGAAAAAAGTATAAATTTCAGAGACACAGAGACTAGTTTTAAATCCTAGCTCTGCTTCTGACCAGTTGGATCAACCAAGGCAAATTATTTAACTTTCTGAACTTAAGTTTTTTTACATGTAAAATGGGGATAGTGTCACTTACCTTAAAGGTTATAAAAGAAATAAAACAACAAATGCATAACACCTTACATAGGCTCGGAAATACCAATGTGAAGATAGCATGTCATGTTTCCTACTATGCCATCCTGTTAACCCATAATTTGGGAAATGAAATCACTTTTTTCCCATTTTTCAATACATGTTACCAAGAGAGAAAACAATTTAAGAAACAAAAAAGCAATGATAGCAAAAATATCATCTAGTAAGATTTATATTAAGAGCAAAATTCAATGACTTAAATTCTGGCATTGATGACCATCCTCAGCCAGTGCTTTTGAGAAAGTACAAACTTTCGTTGCTATGAAATGTAGGAGGGATTAGTTTCAATAAACACTATGTAGAGTAACTGTTTGATGATAATATATGGTACTAAATATTATAAAGAATCATATCCTACCACTCGTCATCTTATGTAAAAAATTTTTCTTGATTTCCATCAAATATTGCAATAATTATATGAGTAAACATCAAAAAGTTCATGGAAAATGGAATTAAAAACAAAAAAAGTTCCAGTCATTTTGTCCACCTCTGACCTCTGAAGAGCTGAGGGTCCTGGAAATTTATTCATATCAGTGTAGTCTTTTTTGCATTAACTTAAAAAGCTTTTAAAGTATACCTATTTTTCTTAATGTCAGACAACCGAAAAGAGGAAGCAAATTAGGAGTAAGGTGGATGAGGGATTCCCTATCATCTTACAAATGTGCCGTTGTCTGATGGGAAATGGCAAGAGCACTGTGAAGCACTCTGGGGAAACTGCCTGGGGTTTTCCTGTGAAGGCTTTGGCTAACTTTCTCAAACCACTCTCAAAACAAGCAGGTGTTAGCACTCCTTGGTCCTCTAGAAAGCCAACAAGCAAAAATGCTCTTCACCTTACAAAAAAATTGTTGCCACACCTTTATTCTTGACTGGTCTGCTTTTGCTTTGATTGGACCATGTACTGGTCTTGGTAGCCATTGTTTTGATTGTCCTTTGTCTTCAGGATTACCCTGGAAAAGCCAGGTTTCATCTCCTGTTATAATTCTTCAAAGAAATGCTTCAAGATCGTGATCCACATGTTTAACATCTTATTCAAAGTTCTACATGCAGCCGACTGATGGATGTGCAACAGTTTTTGGGTCCATCAAGCAGGAAGTTTGTGTTCAGCTTTAATTTTTCAGTCAGAATTGTGGAAGGTGGATGGGGCCTGCACCGTGGTGCAGTGGGTTAATCCTCCTCCTGCGGCGCCAGCATCCCATATGGGTTCTGGTGGTTCTGGTCCCGGCTGCTCCTCTTCCAATCCAGCTCTCTGCTGTGGCCTGGGAGGGCAGTGGAGGATGGCCCAGGTCCTTGGGCCCCTGCACCCACATGGGAGACCGAGAGGAAGCACCTGGCTCCTGGCTTAGGATCAGCACAGCTCTGGCCATTGTAGCCACCTGGGGAGTGAACCAGCGGACAGAAGACCTTTCTCTGTCTCTCCCTCTGTCTGTAACTCTCTCAGATAAATAAAAATCTTTAAAATAAAATTTAAATGGGACCAGTTGAAATGTCTGTGGTGTTGGCTATTGTTTCTACTTTTGTCCATCCCCCTCTTCAACTGGGGAACAAATAAGATTAATGATTCCTCACAAATTGATCTTGATAGTCTGCCTCTGTAGACTATCTTCAGAATTGTCTTGTCCTTTCTTAAAATGAGTTATCCAGGGGCCAGTGCTGTGACGAAGTAGGTTAATCCTCCACCTGAGGCACCGGCATCCTAGATGGGTGCCGGTTCTAGTCCCGGTTGCTCCCCTTCCAATCCAGCACTCTACTGTGGCCTGGGAAAGCAATAGAAGATGGTCCAAGTGCTTGGGGCCCTGCACCTGCATGGAAGACCAGAAGAAACACCTGGCTCCTGGCTTCAGATCGGCACAGCTCTGGCAGTTGCAGCATAAACCAATGGAAGGAAGACCTTTCTCTCTGTCTCTCTCTCTCTCACTGTCTATAACTCCACCTCTCAAATAAATAAATAAAATCTTAAAAAAAAAAAAAAGGAGTTATCCATTTACAAACTGTTGATTTCTTTGGAGCATATTCCCTGTACACTTTTCATAAAGTATCAGTGATTTCACCCTGTCTCCACTCAAGCTCCACCATAAATCTAATGTTTGTTTTTGCTTCTAGTTTAACAGAATTCATGTTGCTCTCAGAGGGGCTCTTTTCAAACTCATGTCTTATCCTTCTTAGTGCCTTAAAATAGATCCTGTTCGGACAGGCAAATTAATATGAGCTTATTTTGGTGCAAAAAAAAGCTTTGAAATCTGGGGCTAGTATTGTAGCACAGTGGTTTAAGCTGCCACCTCTAACACTTACATCCCATATTGGAGTTCCAGATCAAGTTCTTGCTGCTCCACTTCCAATCCAGGTTCCTGCTAATGTGCCTGGTAAGGTAGCCCTAGTACTCTGCTTCCTGTCACTCATCTAGATCAAGATAGAGTTCCTGGCTCCTGGCTTTGGCCTGACCTAGACCTGGCTGTTGTGGTCATTTGGGGAGGGAACCAATGGGTGGAACATCTCCCCGTCTCTCTTGCTCTTTCAAATAAATAGAAAAACAAATATCCAAAACTTTTTTAAAATCCATGCATGGTTTTTTTTCATATAAGCACTGCATGAACTTTTGGAGACTCTTTATATTGTACTTTTAGCTATAGTTGGGCAAAATGTTATTTAGTCCTCTGTCCTCTAGCAAAGAGCAAAGTAATCACAAAGGGAAGTGTAGTTTTTAAATTTTTTACCTCAAAATTCATAATTCCAAAAGGTTTTATCTATCTAACAAACTTAGTAAACGGTAAGTAAACAGGTGTGGTAGTATGTAGCTTCTTCTATGTGCTATGAGGCTGAATACTTCATTAACTGCTGGGACAGGACTTGATCCTTGAAGTCTATCTTCCAAAAAGGAGTACAGGCAAGAAATAACAAAAGTGATGTATATTATAAAAAGCACAGGCGCAATGGGGAATGTATAATAAGAGGATCTAACCAGGAAATGAGACCAGGAAGTTTGGCTAAAGACAGACAGACTGACTCAGACAGGAGACAATGAAATCCATGCTATGGCTCTACTCAGTGTAAAAGGGTTGCCAGGTACTAAATCATAAAGAGCTTTTTAAACCACGTAAAATCAAGTATTTGTACTTCATACTGGGGACCATGGCAAGCCCCTGAACGGCTTTCAACAAGAGACTATCATGATCCAATTTACTTTTGTAAAAGGTTTCTCTAGCTGCCCCATGGGGAATGAATTACAGGGGTAATGCTGGAAACAGAAAGACTTAAGAGGTGACTGCCATTGTCGAGGTGAATGCAGAAAATGAATGAACCTCTTTACCTGATCTTTTCTGGATAAAATTATTTAGGACCCTGGCGCTCAGTTTTTTATTCATTCGAACATTCATTGTCTGGTATGTGCTCAATATCATAAGTATATGGATAAACAAGATAAAATACATTCTTCATCCTCCCAGAACCTGTAGTTGGGAGAGGATATCAGACATGCAACAAAGCAATTAAAATACAGAAAGGTAAGAGAAAGAGCCAAGGGCTACAGGGCTACATAGAAGCAGCCCACTTAACCCAGGCTGAGGAAAATCAAGGAAGGTTTTAAAGAAGATGTGTCTTCTGAGTTGAATCCTAAAGGATGAGCAATTGGAAGTCAAATGGTAGGACAAAGAACAGGTCAGATTGATAACACTATAGGCAAGGATCAGCAGTAAAAGAAAACATGACCAGTTAAGGAATCCATTATCCAGAGCTCGGGGTGCAGCAAGTAGTAAGAAAGCAGCCTTTAAGCCCAATAGCTTTCCTTCTTGAAAAGAACAGTGGGAAATGGCAAAGACTTCCCTGACTGCAATGTGGTCAGCAGCCTTGAAGGCGGCCAGGCCAAAGCTACACGCCTTTTCCCTCCGCCCTGAATGTGTTCTTCCCCTTGGCAAAGACTCAGGCAACTTTCCTTAACTCTAATTAAGAGACAGAGTTACCATCCTTTCTGCTAAAAACGCACAGCATATTGCCAATAGCACTCAATGTCAAGTTATTTATTACTCTGTTCTTAGTTCCTGTCACTTAAGTTTTTTGGAGAAAGGGAGCAGCAGGGTGTTTTGTATCTCCACCAGGTCTGGAAACATTCCTCAGAGCATCCCCACTGCCCGGAACCCTGCTTGACACATACTGGGCCCTTGCTATCTGTTTAATCAAGAAAAGGAAGGAAGGAATGTGACCTTTTAATCACAGCTGAAGTTTTCCTCTTTTGAGTTGACTAGGAATAATTCTGTTAGTAAAAATAAGGTCCAAATTAGGTTATGTTAATCCCAAAAGAGAAACCGTGCAAACGTTAACTAAAATGTCACATTTGAACATTTATGTCAACAGCATGAAAGATTTATAGCAGTAGCAGTGCCACTTTAAATGCTAACCTCCAATTTTTTCCACTACAGCTTTGTGCTTCCTTTCTAAGTGCTGAAGATGCCTACAGCATTTCTCCAGTTTTCTTTTCAGATCTTGACTTTCCTGCTTTGCCTTTTCAAGTTCTTGAAAGCAGGGTCCACAGCATAAATTCTTAATTTCAAGGATCTTTTTCTTATCTGCAAAATTAAATGACAGAAAGCTTTTATATCAGTTTGGCCCGAGAACTACGAAAAGCAAAGCAGATGATGTGACTCACAATCAAAGGCTCCAGTGCACCTGACAGAGCAGGATCCTGAGACAGAGAGACCTGGGTTTAGATCCTGTTCCCACCACGCACTGGCTGTGTGCCTCCACGGACTCCTTAATCTCTCTGAGGCTTAGTTTTCTAATACGTAGAATTGGATAATACGATCTACTTTAACTACTGTGAAACCTATATTCAGATCTTAGCACTGAGTATCGTTTCCTAAGAAAAGGAACTGGGAATCTTTAAGAAATGGCTGATTCCAGTTCTGGGAAAGAGAACAAAGAGACTGAAAGATCTTGCCATGTAAGAAAGTACTCAAATACACTCCCATCACAAAAGCACAGTTTGAAGGGCCTCTATTAGATAAACTGCTGTCAATTTGAGCATCATTAAATACAGCGATGCATTACGAATCATCAAGAGTCACAGCGGTAATCCTGTGGATGGAAGGCAAGTAGATAAAGAAATATACAGGCCAAGGGGAGGGAAGACTCCTGATTGTGACACCACAGAGTGCCACCTGCTAATACTGGACGGAGGTCTGCAACTGGGGAAACAAAAAATACACTTTTGCTTCCACTGTAGTAAAGACTGGATCAGGTGGGAATCGCCAATCACCAAACTTAACAGAAGGTTCTAATGAGGAAAAGGATATTTGCATGGTCTTAAAGTGTCTCCCCACAGATTATTCATTAGTTCCTAGAGGGAAAAACCCAGTAATTATTTAGTGAAGAAATTAGAAAGCATTATGACCAGACTGGGGTCAGGAGAGGGGATCACCCAGGCAGTGTCCAGGCAAGAATCTTCTCGGGAAGAAACAGACAAACCTAAGTGGGGAAAGCTCTGTTAACAAGGAGTAATGGGCAACATAGAAGGTCACAATGATATAACTTACCTCATATGGGTCAGGAAAAAAAGGAGATCACATGCACAAACACCCAAATGTGAACACCAGCTGGAGTAAGGTGTTACTAAGAGGTGTATATAAGTATTTTTGCAACTTTTTATTTTTCTAACTTCTACATTTTATAAGTTTGAAGTCATCTCCAAATTTAAAAAAATGACTCAAAACTACTGATATAAATATATAAAAACTGTTTTGTGTAGCACCTGGAATACAGCATATACAAAATAAATAGCTACTGTCATTACTAACATATGGCATTATAAAATTAGAATAACAAAATTATACAAAGGGTTATTACTACTACTATCAGTGATATAATCAAATAGAAATACAAATCGGCACAGGCTCAGAAGCGAGTACCTAAAATGTGCATATAATGTGATTGGTCACGCAAAATTAATCTTAGTTCTCTTTATCAGTTTCACTTATTAGGGATTAATGAAGCATCATACTTGTACTAAACACTGATTTTCTATTTTTCATTTCAGCTACTTTTGTAAGATCAGCAACCATGCAAGTACCCACTGACAAGATAACAGATAAGTCCATTCTAGTACATTTCTAAAGTGAAATATTGTACAGAAATGAAAATGAGCTAGAGTTGTATGCATTAACACAAAGTTCTGTGGAAAGATAGCAAGTTAACAAAGGACATGAATATTAAGCCACTTTTATTACAAAAAACAATAACTTTTTAAAAATAGTTATATTCTATTAAAACATTAATAATTAAAAAAAAAAAACAGATTATTTGTTACCTCGGGTTTCAGGGGAAGAACTGTGTTCCATGGTATTGGTGATGTTCTGTTTCTTAAACGGAATAGTGGGTTCCTGGCTGTTACACTCTAACTTACACACATTCTTATGTATCAAGTGTTTTATAACTGATGTTTATCTTTAAAATATTAAGCTATTAGGAGCATATAACCAGTCAACAATGGTTACTATCTGCTGGTGGGAGTCCTATGGACTTTATCACTTAACACATGTTTGGGATTATTTAGTTCTTTCTAAATAGGTGGGAAAAAAAGAAATCTTCTTTCATATTTATAGGACTTCCCAAAACTACATAACGTTAACAGTTATTTCTAGCCCTTTCATGATGAAAATAAACTATCAGGCTATTGCAAATATGACAAAAAATTGAAAAAGATACAAATTAAGGTAGTATTACCACCCACTTAATAGTCAATATTCTCAGAGCCATCTAGAACCTAGAAATAAGGGGACAGAGCTTGTGAATGAGGAAAATTACTATCAACTAACAGAGATTACCTAAGCTCCTGGGAACATTACCAACTGAATTAGAAATGTGTAGAAACTAAGGTTATTGACTTGGTACATCATATAATTTGCTCTGGCAATTGCTAATTTTCTTCCAGATTCCAGTGAAAAGTGTAAATAAGAAGCAGAAAGTGAGTTTACACGTTTGTATGAGGGAAGGAGCAGGCTGCAAGGAGAAGATATCTAATCAAGGACGTGTCAGTGCTTACCTCAGAAAACTCAGAGGCAACATACGTCCTTGTGCCTCAGGAAGCTAGGAATAAAAAGGGTTGTGGTACAGTACAAAAATTCTTTCATAATGACAAGTTTAAGTCATTAAAGAAGAATTAAACTGTTACTTCATCCAAGGTTTAAGGAACACATACTATGCAGCATTCACTCTGTCACATGTTAGAGAGGAAGAAATTAAAAACACTGCCTTTAGCTGGAAAAAAAAAAACCCTCACAAATAAGCTAGACAATGCCTATACTGCAGGATGATTTTCATTTTTAAAATGGCTGAAATCAGCTTCAGGAATTTGGATGAAACATTTTATTCGCTGGCAATTTTCTTAGGTGAAACCCTTGATTTCTCATTAGGGGATAAAATTCTCATTTGTCTAGTCCCAAAAATCACTTGTAAATGGAAGGGAAACCATTAAAAGAAGAGGGTCTAAATCAACCCTGTCCATAAAAATACGAAATAAAATCTAGGGAGAGGATACACAGTAGTTGGAGTAAGAGCACACATTTTTTCACTCACAAAACCATTCACATATTTGATCTCCTTTTATCCTCAAAGAAACCCTGGGGAATGGTGATTACAGATGTTACAAAGAATAGTGGGAACAAAATCCAGTTACCAGCTTCTGCTGCTGTTTCTTGCCAGGCCAGTGGCTGAGCGCGGTGTCCAGAAGTAGACGCAGGAAGGGCTGCTGTTGCTCCCAGGTCTCCTCTGCCAATGCCCTGGGCGGCAGGATCCGCAGAGATCTTAGCCATACTTGCCTGAAATTAATTATCCTCATAGTGAGTACCCAGTAAAGATCTTCACGCTAACTTCCACTTCAAGTGTTAAAAACATAAAAAGAAAATGTTGCTTGGAAAAAAATCTTGCCTGAACTATCACATGACTACTGCCGATATCATAAATGATTCTCTTATGACCATATTTATTAGAACAGTGTCAGAAAAGACTGATGGGTCGGCTAAGACAGAATGAAGCTCAACTCTGAAACATACAAAGGAATGTGAGATAATTTTAGTGGTTTATGTGATCACACCATAGACAGACAACATGCAATCAGAAATGTTCTTCAAAATCCAGCGCTGCAGCAGGAATCAAATTCATTAGCAACTATTATCAAGCTTTTGCCTCCAATGAAAAATAACCACAGTAAAAATAATTTTTATCCTTCTAAATACTTTAACATATACTGCCATTTTGTATGGAAGGACAGAAACCGAGGCTTAGCCAAATTAGACATCTTGCACAAGGCTATTTCTTCACTAACATTTATTGAATTATTTTTATGTTCCAGTCCCTGTTACAGGCAACGCAACTACTAAATTCACTAGTGGGTTTTAAAGCAATATTTTCAGATTTTAGACCACTACTAAATCAAAAAACGCCAGAATGTGACACTGAGAAAGCACTCTTGTCTAGTTACTAAAAACATGTAAAACATGCTTGATTCTAAGAAGTATTGATTTAGATTATGAGAAACTAACTTAACTGTCAGGAAACCTACTTATGATGGCCAACAAGAACAGGTCAACAATTATAAAGAAAAGGCAAAAACTCTACCCAATCAAGAGGCTGTGAGGCTCAAGCCAAAAGGAAGAAAAGCTGAACCCAAAGGCATCAACAATTTTGGCTTCTACCTAAGGCTAGAGAAGGGCCAAAACTCTTGACAAGACAAACATTTGATCTTATTTTTTACCTTGACTTTGGTATGATTAAAAGACAGAACACATAACCTAAAATTTACTTTACAATTTTGTACTGTTGCATTAACATATTTTGATAAGGTATTCATTTTCTTGGAAACTATTTTTCATTCATTACACCTATTTTAAACTTTTGAGGGTCTCAGTTATATAAACGAGGACTTGTTTATGTACCCTGAACAATTCTTGTTTTAATTTCAATGAGCAAGTCTAAAAAACAGATTTAAGAAACTATGAATGACAGTTCCTCATGTTTATGGAAACTATTACAAATTTATAACCAATGCTTTACCTCAAGATTCTGAGTTAGCTTGAAAACTATAAAAGGTAAGATATTATTTCTATGACAATTGTCAGATAAGGCATTTCAAAGCCATCATTCTCTTGGGAATGGAATCTGATCCACCACATAAAAGCTGAGAAAGTCTAAATTCCTAGCTAGATTATGTGATTTTGTCTCCATAGACTTGTGAGCCCCATTAAATCACACAGATGACCTTAACACTGCTTACCCTTATTATTAGCCCTATTAAAAACAAAAAACGCTTGGGGTTGATTATACACATAAGTGGTAAGAGAAAGGTGTTGTAGTTTCATGGTTTACATAGCAGATACCACGTTTTCAGGAAAGCAAACTTCGAAGTATATAATATGATTTCTCCACCACTTCTCATCTTAAAACATGTTACAAATAATTTTTCTTATTTTAACTATTTTCCCTAAAAGTTCCCAATGCATTAAGCAGTATTTATGGAAAGTGATCTTGTTCAGTTATTTTTACATTGAACGTAACTACTCATCAGTAGCATGTAAAATCAAGGATAAAAGTATCAACTGGGGTGAACTGGGATTGGGTACACTGATCTTTCTGCCACCTTCTAGCTCTAAAATTCCATACCATACTGTTTCACATGCATGATGCAGAAAGGTCACACTGTTTCATGCATATCCTACAACACCCAGGGATTTGTATTTTATTTTTCAGATGAGCCAGTAAATGACTGCTTGAAACAATAAGCTAACTCTCACCAAGTGTGGGACTGGAACTCAGATTTTTTTCCTGGCTTATAACTCTTTCCAGTAGGTATTAGTACCAAATGCTCAATTCTGTCTTTGAATCTCTTATACTTTGATGGGCCTTAACTCTTCTCAACTCATCTATGAGGCAAACCTTATAATACTGGCATTTTTTTCCACCTCTAATTCCAAATGTTGAAATTGGTTGATCACAATATCATTTTGGATCTTTCATGTATACTTGACTGAAGAAAGTAGCAAGGCATTGGTTTTTGACAGGTCCTCCACACAAACTAAAAGCTGGTCTCAGAGACAAACATATCTAATTCAATATTCTATATGCACAGGTAAATATGTACTCGGTTGGCATTTTTCATCAAGGACAAGAATTACGCTTCTAAACTCTTTTAAAACTTTTAAGAAACTAGTTTAACATGTTGCATGTTTCTTGAAGTGGTCAGGCCCAAAAAACAAAAATAGGAATGAGAGTTATTCAGATCCTGAAATCTCAGGCCCTTTCACATATAAGAAAGACACAGACACAGACACAGACACACACATATACACGTTAAGAAAAAATGTCTAGAGGCTAAAAGCTCTACCTGAAAGTTGTGGCATTATGGAATAGTAAGTTTTTGTTGTTGTTGCTGTTTAAGAATAAAATATATAATCCTTTAGATTTTCTACAAAAAGATTTTTAAACCACTGGTAAAAACATAAGTCTTAGATCTATTAAACTATAAACTGAAGAAAGGAAAATACCATTTGCAGCATCTAGTTATCCTTGTTCATTCTCAGGAACATACCTTTTCCCATTCCAGGCTGACATTTTCAATAAGTAAGGAGAGTGTATCTTGAAATGCTCTCTGGATGCAGGCCTTTAGTTTTTCGAAATATTGCACAGACACCCATTTCGAAGAACAAATGGACATTATTTCCATGAGCTGTGAGTCCTCTGACCCACTGACACACTCCTTCTGAGTATCCCTTAAGAGAAATCCCAGCATGGTGAGGATGTCCTCCTCATACTGAGAGATTTCCAGCTCTATCCGCCGGGCCTCCTGCACGGTCCATTCTCTACGACTCTGGTCTAGACATGCTTGTAATTCAGTCTCCTTCTGAAGAAGCAGTTCAGTCTTTTGTTTCACAAAGTCTTCTTTAGCTGCCGCAAGCACCTCACTAATTTTATTTCGATGATCATCTAAAAACTGTCGGTAATCCTGCTCATTTTGTTCTTGAATTCTCTGAATTTCTTCTTGCTTTTCTTTATTCCATTCATTCCGGGCCTTCGCCAGCTCAGCCCTGACAACCACTGGGACTTCCTCGTTCTTTAACTCCAGCTCCTTCTGAAGAGAATGAATCTTTTCTTCCAGTTCCTTTCCAGGCATGACATTTTTCTTCATATTTTCAAGTTCACTTTTCCATTTCTCTTTAGCTTCGCAAACAGCAAGTGATATCTAAAGGCCATAACAGAAGTTTTTATGATTCTCCTCATTAGCAAAGAAATTAAACTAAAGGAACTATCTGGGTTAACACTTGAACTTAGAGTTAAAATCAAAATTAAAGGGAAAAGTGAATTTAGGCAAGAATATTCTATATTAAAATATACTTACACTATATTTTAAGATCTTTTTCCTTATTTAAATCACTCAATAGTTTGTCTTATGTTATTTAGAAAACAAAACACTAATTGCTGATGGAGAACTAGAATTTGAAATTGGCATATGACAGATCTTTGAAAAGTTCATGGAAAATGCAAATTATGAAAAAAATTCATGAACTTCAAATTTTATTTGCACAAAAATCTTTTAACTATTTTTCCATAAATTTTTGGAATACTCTTGTAAGGACAAAATTATATAGTTAGCCAAAGCTAATGTTAGAAAAATATTCAGTGTTAGTTTGGTAAAATATAGATACAGCCTAAACTCCCAACAAATTGTAAACATCTTTTACCTAAAGCAAAAGCAGGCTCATAAGGAAATCTTAATGTCACTTAAAGTCACACATCTTGATAATTCCTTGTTGATTAATTTCTTTATAAGCTTAACAATTAGAACAGCTTGTTAAATGACAAGGCCAAAGAGAATGAGATGAGCAGATCATAGGAAATAGCAGTCTACAACCAAACAGTGAAAGACGAATCAAAAAACCCGGGCTCTAGCTCAAACCCTGCCTGAGACCACAGAGACGGCCTGGCACCATGCTTAACAGAACAGATTCTGAAGACAAACTGCTGGAATTAGCTTAGCAACCAGGGAGCCATGGGCCCACTCCCCAGCTTGCCTGAGCCTCAGTTTCCTCACCCATAATGTAGGAAGAACTAGAATGCCAGTTTGCTAGTGTTTAAGAGTCAGTGACATGAGATAACCATTTTAGAGTCCTTAGCCCAAAGACTGTATATAACAAGGATTCAATAACTATCAGGAAGTTGTTAAACGAAGCACTTAGTATCTTCATCTAGTTAATGAGCGGACTGGATATAATTTTGAGTTCCTCTTACTTCTTATTCCCTGACAGAATTCAAAAAGTCACAAGGGACACAACAGTCATCAACAAACAGAACTGGGTCTCCCCAGTTAGTCAACACTCCAACAGGCTCTCTAAACCCGTGTATTCCACATTCGTGGAATCAACTAACCACAGATACTGAATATTCAGAGTAAAAACTACGTATCTGCACTGACATGAACAAACATTTTCCATGTCATTATTTCCTAAACAATACAGTTTAACAACTTCTGAGATGGCATTTACATTTTATGTCATCTAGAGATGACTTACAGTATGTGGGAGGATGTACACAGGTCCAATGCAGATACTGCACCATTTTATCTAAGAGACTTGGGCATCCTAGGATTTTGGTAGCCAAAGAGGTTCCAGGATCCAAATCTGCTCAGTTACCAAGGGATAACTGTACACACTATCTATGCTCAGGGTGATGACAAGCTTACTAAATTTTCTCCTAAAGGAACAGCTAACATGAGCTTTACAAAGGAATTTACTGCAAAACCCTTTGCTAACAACAGCAAGATCAGCAGTGATTTGAAGACTTTCAGTTGTGTTTTTACAGAAAATCATGTTGCAGTGGGTGCCTGGAAATCCTTACTAAGTGATTTGGCTGGAGGTGGGAGCCCATGGAATTGGATGACCTGCCCAACCTTACCAAAAAAACAGGCATCTTCTCACACAAAGTTCTCCAAGGAGAATTTGACATTAATCAATTCAATGGTTCCCAAATTTGGCCATACATTAGGATCGCCTAAGGAGCAGTTAAAACCTCTAATGCCCAAACCACATTCCATACCAATCAAAATCTGAGGGTGGGAGAAAGCAACTGTGTTTTTAAAAGATCATGAAGTTATTCCAAAGTGCAGCAAAGTTTGGGAACCACTGAACCAACCTGACCACTTATAAACCCTAGAAACCGGCTTTAAATTGCCACTGATGACTCTTAAAAGAGCTCTCTCTAGCCACTGTCATGAAATTTCCCTTTTCCCAGCTCCTTTGTGGATTGGAGGAAGGATAATGATAACATCATGTTTTGTGGCTGATACAATTATCTAGTACAGTGTGATTCCCAAGCAGGGTCCAAAATCCAGCAGGGTCATCTGGGAGTCTGATAGAAATGTAAATTCTTCTTGGGACTCACTCCAAACCCACCAAGTCATTGTCTCTGGGAGTAGAGCCCAGGAACTCTACTCCCAGAGGTGATTCTCATGGCTCTGAAATGGACAAGCTACAGAAATACTGTGCTGCCACTTTATATTTCGCGTTCTCATGTATTTGGGCCCTCTGTGTTCTTAAGGGAAGATCTGGTGACCTACTTTATATCTATTTTCTATCCAACTTACTTCTGGGTTGGGACAAATTTTCTCACCATCCCCTTGTTTCCTCTATCAAATTTCCTATCAAATTTTCACATACTGGAAAGTATAGAGGATAATGTAGCAAACACCCCATGTATCTTAAAAATACATTAAAATAGATTTAAGCCAGAGGGAGAGAGGAGAAAGAGGTCTTCCATCCGCTGGTCACTCTCCTAATGGCTGAAACAGCCAGGAGCCAGGCACTTCTAGGTCTCCCACATGGGCACAGGGGCCCAAGCATTTGGGCCATCCCATGCTGCCTTCACAGGCTCATCGGCAGGGAGTTGGATCAGAAGTGGAGTAGCCAGGACTCAAACCGATACCCATAGGGGATGCCAGTGCCCCAAGCAGCAGCCCTATCTGCTTTGCCACAGTGCAGGCTCCAAAATAATTTATTTCCTTATTCCAAAGAGGAAGCCTCTCTAATTGGATGTAGAGTTAGAAAGGTCTTCTATCCACTGGTTCACTCCCCAGATGGCCACAACGGCTGGAGCTGCGCCAATCCAAAGCCAGGAGCCTGGAGCTGCTTCCAGGTCTCCCACATGGGTGCAGAGGCCCAAGGACTTGGGTCATCTTACTGCTTTCCCAGGCCATAGCAGAGAGCTGGATCTGAAGTGGAACAGCTGGAACTTGAACCAGCACACATATGGGATGCTGGCACTGCAGGCAGCACCTTTACCCACTACACCCAGCGCCAGCTCAAAAACAAACTTTTTATGTTGAATTAATTCCTAAGTAATTTGTGGAGTAAGATAAAGAATACAAGGTATGAATCACAATTTCTGTTATATTCCACATTATTTTCCAAAATGTTTGTGCCAACAGGGGGGTAGTACATGTTTGATGCTACAATCTATGGATGATTTATACATGTAGCATAAAATGGTACCTTGAGTGTGTTAATATGGTTAGGTATGAATGTTCTTTCATTGATTTTTTTTTTGTGGGGGGTTAGACTTTTCATGGAGGTCATCTGCTCATATCCTTGGCCTACTTATCCATGGACTCCTAGTTCTCTTACAAATTTGTATGAGCTCTGTGTTAAATATTTTTATTAATACTTCTCATGTTTGATTCATTTATTTTCTCTATTTTCTTAATTTAAATGTTATTTATTACAAAAATGTTTCAAATGTAATGTGCCTGAAGCACTGGCATTCCATATGGGCACCAGTTTGAGACCTGGCTGCTCCACTTCCAATCCAGCTCTCTGCTGTGGCCTGGGAGGGCAGTGGAGGATGGCCCGAGTCCTTGGGCCCCTGTACCCACATGGGAGACCGAGAGGAGGCTCCTGGCTTGGGATCGGCGCAGCTCCGGCCGTTGCGACCAATTGGGGAGTGAACCATCGGATGGATGACCTCTCTCTCTCTCTCTCTCTCTCTATGTATGTGTGTGTAACGCTTGACTTTCAAGTAAATAAATAAATCTTAAAAAAAAAAAAAAAAACATCCTGGCTGTTCCACATCCCATCTAGCTCTCTGCTAATGTACCTGGGAAAGCAGCAGCAGATGACCCAAGCGCTTGGGCCCCGCCACCTAAATTGCAGACCCGGATGAAGTTCCTGGCTCAGCCCCAGCTGTTGTAGCTATTTGGGGAATAAACCAGCAGGTGGAAGATAACGGTCTCTCCCTCTCCCTTTGTAGTATTTTTTTTTTTAATATTTATGAATTTATTTGAAAGGAAGAGAGAGAGATCTTCCATCCCTGGGTCACTCCCCAAACATCCACAGTGGCTAGGGCTGGGCCAAGCCCAAGCCAGGAGCTTCCTTCAGGTCTTCCATGTGGTGGCAGGGGCGCAAGCATTTGGGCCATCCTCCGCTGCTCTCCCAGGCACACCAGCAGGGAGCTGGATCAGAGGAGCAGTGGGGACTCGAAACAGGACCCGTATGGAATTCTGGCACCATAGGCAGAGGCTTAACTTTCCATGCCACAGTGCCAGCCCCATCTGCCTTTCAAATTTTTAAAGTCTATTGCACTGGGACTGGTACCGTGATGCAGCGGGTTAAAGCCCTGGCCTGCAGTGCCTGCATCTCATATAGGCGCCGGCTGCTCCTCTTCCAATCCAGCTCTCTGCTGTGGCCTGGGAAAGCAGTGGAAGATGGCCCAAGTTCTTGGGCCTTGCACCCACATCGCAGACCCAGAGGAAGCTCCTGGCTCCAGATCAGCGCAGCTCTGGCCGTTGCAGCCATCTAGGGAGTGAACCAGTGGATGGAAGACCTCTCTCTCTGTCTCTCCCTTTCTCTGTAACTCTTTCAAATAAATAAAATAAATCTCTTTTTTTTTTTTCAAAGTCTATTGTGGGGCTGGTACTGTTGCTCACTTAGTTAATCATCCGCCTATGGCACCGGCATCCCATATGGGCACCGGGTTCTAGTCCCGGTTGCTCCTCTTCTAGTCCAGCTCTCTGATGTGGCCCAGGAGGGCAGTGGAGGATGGTCCAAGTGCTTGGGCCCCTGTACCTGCATGGGAGATGAGGAGGAGGCACCTGGCTCCTGGCTTCGGATCAGCACAGCGCTGGCTGTAGCGGCCATTTGGGGAGTGAACCAACAGAAGGAAGACCTTTCTGTCTCTCTCTCTCTCACTATGACTCTACCTGTCAAATAAAAAAAATAAAGTCTATTGCACTGAATTCTATTTCGTGACAACACTATTATGTGTTAAGGCTAGACTACAACTTCTTTTCTAGAACATTAAAAAAATTCCTAGTTCTTTTTTTCCAGATAAATTTTAGAATTATGTCAAATTTCAAAACTATATTCAGTGTGTTGGCATTTTAGTTAGAACCGGGTTAGAGTAGTAAACTAAGCTGGGAGGGTAAACATGGTAGGGTGGGCGCTGTGGAGTAGCAATAAGTTCCGCCTGTGACGGTGGCATCCCACGTGGGCACCGATTCAAGGCCCAGCTGCTTCACTTCCCATCCAGCTCTCTGCTAATGGCCTGGGAAAGTAGCAGAAAAGACTACCCAAGTGCTTGGGCCCCTGCACCCATGTCGGAGACCTAAAAGAAGCTCCTGGTTCAGCCTGGCCCAGCCCTGGCTGTTGTAGCCATTTGGGGAGTGAACTGGCAGGTGGACAATCTCTCTGTGTCTTTCCTTCTAACTCTGCCTTTCAAATAAATAATTAAATCTTAAAAAAATTACAAATGGTTACAATAGCTAAGTTTTCCAGGTAAGGAACATGACATCTCTGGGAAGGGAAGTTACCTATTTACCAAAGAGAATAAATTATAAGACTACTGACAACAGCATAGAAAACAATCTTTAAGCTTGGGAAGGGATACTGTATATCTAATAATAAACAGACAAACACCTGCTCTCAATCTTACCTAACATAGAGCAAGAGAGACTGAATTTGGTTTCTAAGTCAAAGTTACCATACTGACTCAAGAGTTTTAAACGGCTAACATACAATTGTTTCTCCCTAAACATCTTGAAGGTGGTGAAAATAGAGGCCATCTGTGAGGCCCGGGGCGGATGCTAAATGTGCATTGTCATTTTTAATCCTGCACCAACTCTGAGCATGTATGAATTCCCAAGACTGAAGGGAGAAAAGAGGTCCTGGAGAGAAGTTTCCTTCCAGGAGAGCTCATACCTGTTTGGCCACAGAGATTGCTTGCTGCTCTTCCCACTTCTTTTGCTCTGCTCGGACACGCGCTTTATATTCCGCAAGCTCAGGCAGTTCTTCCAGCCACCGATGACGAGCATTTTGTACCGCTGTTTCCACCTGTAAGGTATCAAAAAAGATAGAGGTCAAGTGGTTAGAAAATTCCAAAAAGACCACATTTTCAACCAGCAACCATGATTTCATGTGTATTTTACATTATATTTCACAACATGATAGTCACACTGACTACAAGCTCTCTAACTTATCCCAAACAGCAGATTCTATTCTTTCTCGTCTATACTTCCCACACTGTCTCATGCAAATGCCACAATAGGAAGTGGGACTCTGATGACCAACGCTATTTTAGAATGCTTTGTATAAAGCAGTAATCGCCTTTTCCAACACACTTGTATTTATTTTTAGGAGAAAGCCGGCCTCAGGCTGCATGTTGCCAGCTGCAGGTCAATCAGTACATCTATCATTTCCTCACACACTCCACCCCCCCACCCCCCACCCCGCCAACATAGAGTCTTACCTAGCAAACTAATGAATGAGAGTGATGCTGCTATTCAGGCAAAAATTTAAGACAAGGAGTCTTCAGGGTGACCTATCTGATGGTAAATCTATAACCAGTTATCAGAAAATCATTTATTTTTCCTTAGTCCTTCATTTTAACAGATACACACACATATATATCCATATGTACGCACAACAGCAGAGTTGACACAGGAAGCTGCATTCCTCACCTAAATGTTACATACATCTCCATGTAAACCCCAGAGTGAAAAATGCAGGAAAAAGAATAAAATTCCTTGGAAATTTATATTCCTGAACAAGTTATCATGAAACACTTCCTTTCTATTATGTTAACTGTTTTTCTTTACAAGATCTGTAATTCATAAGTAACAAAGCAGTATATCTTTTAACAAATCTTTGTCTATAGATTATTTTCTTAATTCTGTTCAAATCTTTCGGTAAACATTTCAGAAAACTATTTTTGATTGGTGATGCCCTCGAAACCGTTACATGTATTCGCCTGTTTGAAAACTTGAAGGATGCCCAGCAAAATCATGTAGAATAATATAATAAGCAGAGTTTCAAATATTTGTCAAGAGCTAGGTTTAGTTTTTAAAGGCTTATTTCTGAGGTTGTTTAAGGGTTAATAAGTAGTAAATCTAAAACAATAAATACCTGGTAGATATATAAAGGTTTAGGGCACTTGTAAAGGCAAGAGACTGGGCTGGGTGGGTTGTGAGGTCAAAACTATTTGCATAATATCAAGGCATCTTTTGCCTTTTTGTACTGTATTCTCTCATGTTTAAACACAGAATTTCAGACTTTGTGCCAGGTGATGACATCACTGCTCTGACAGCCAATGAACTGTGTGCATGGGCATTCCATTTTCCCAAACTCCTCAAGTTCATTTTCCAGTAGGGTGAACAGATACATCCCACCCAAAAATAAAAAAGGACTCTTTAGAGTCCTCAGTTAACTGTAATTGGTAATAACTCATCTTTCTTCTATTAGCACAGGCTATCCTTGTCTTCATATGAGATTTCTTTCAAGTCAAGTATGTTGCCTCAGTTAAAAATTTTGCGATTGCTGCAAAAGCAAAGGCAATGGACCACTTTTTGGCAGCTGATGGAAATTATAGACAAAGTTCCAAGAGACATGCCTGCAGATTCACCCTGCATCAAATTGCAACACAAATACTGTTACATACCTTATTTGCCTACATTTAGTTATCTGTAATTATGTTAGTGGGATATTTTCTATAACATTAGATATGAAAGATTCATAACTAAATAGCACTTTATTCAGATATAAAACCACCATCGTTAACCTCAGGCATCTTAATGCTTAAACTGATCTCAGAGGAACGAACACCCTTGTAAACTGAAAGAACATATATGCAACAACACTGAAGGGTGAGAGTTCTATGACAGAAATACCATGAAGAGAAACCGAGGAACAACATCCCAGGTCAGGAATTTTAAAATATAAAATTATAAATTCAGTGGTAGTATTCTGCAGGTTTCCATGAACACACAGGCAGTTCTGAACATTGTACTAGAATAAACCTATCAATTACCTGTTTGGCAATATTTTCACAGTATTTGAGCTCCAATTCGATTTCGAGCTTCTTCAGACCCCCCTTGATAGCTACTTCCTTCTCCTGTTCTAAATCTTGCTGGATCTTTCGCTTCTGCTCTTCTATCATGTCTGCCATCTCTTTCTTGGAAATAACATCAAGGGTGGTTACTTGGTCGGTTTGGCTGCCACAATCGGAGGTCCTCTTTTTCAGTGCCTTTATAGTTTGATCCAGCTTAGACTGCCACTCCTTTTCAAGTTGTTGGATGAGTTTTTGTTTGATCTGTTTTCAGAAGAAAAGTTGTATGAAAAAAAATCAAGGAAGTAAAAACTAGAATTAATAACTAGCCAGAAAAGCAACCACAGCTGTGTTTGAAAACCATCTAGACAGTTGTAGTAATTATACGAGGCTTAGAATGAAAATATATTCTCAAGGTTAACTTGAAAGCTATGCTTTCACCTTAACTATGTAATAACAACAACAAAAAAATCACATGGAAAATTTAATTATGTTGTGTAAGGTCACACTATCATGCTCTCAATATGCAACTCTATTGCCACTACGAAGTTGGCACTAAAAAACTTTTGACATTAATGAGTATTTTGCCATCAACACCATGCTTTCCATAAATGAATGAACCTAATGAATGAACCTAAAAGTGAACAACCAAAACACTAGTATTTTATTTGTAATGATGTGAAATTTTATAGAATAGACTACATTCAAGAGCAGCACTATTGGAAGATGTCTTAATGATTTTTTCCACTTTTAACAGTGGAGTGGGGTAGATATGAGCACAATCAATCATAGGCAAAACCATGAAGAGTAGAATTTGTGGTTCTTGGTTTTTGGTTTCCCACCTCCTGTGTATCCAGGGCTCTCAAACTACTTCCCTGGTTAATTATTTGGTTGTTAACTTTTGAGGAAACTACTGTTTCCTAATCTCATTTGCCAGCTAGCTAACAGAAGTAATGTTTTATGTCTGTGACTTCTTTCTTCTGCATGACATCGATTATTTATTCATTAATCAAGAAAGTAATTTAGAGTTATCAGAATCATTTCATAATATGAAATCAGATCCTGGTTTCATTTGGAGGAATCAATACAGTACCCAAAAATCTGTTACATGCTCAACTGGGTTGAAGAGTCAAGAGGGGCTAAACATTAAAATCTGAACCTGGTGTTGGGTATGCTGCTAAGAGCCTCATTCTGAAAGGTAGACTGGGTGGCTATGAAGGTCCTTGGCAATTAAAAATTGTAGGACTGTTCAGAAAAAAAAAAAATTGTCTTCTGTAGTTAATACTGCATTTTTTTAAATATGGTGTCCAGAAAGAAATTTTAACCCACACCTCTTTCTGTTCCTTATCCCAGTATGCTTTGGCTAACACCACTTCATTTTCAACCTGCTGCTTAATATCAGTTTCTTGTTCTTTCAGCCATTTTTTCTTTTCCACCATAAGAGCATCTTGGTACTTTTCTTCAAGTTTCAATTGCAGTTTGCTTACATATTCTTCTCTTTCCTCCAATAGCTGTCTCTTTAAACAAAATTCAAGTAAATATCTTTGTGAAACTAATCATCTCCAAGTTAAAAACATTTCAACTTGTTGTGTATGGCTTAGGTTGCCAAAAGAAAAACATAACCTCCAGCTCCTAAGAAGGACTTGCTTAGCTTGTGTTGTATCAGTGTGTACAGAGACAGAATTAGAATGGGAATACTGATCATCTTTGCCTGCTCTTCAAAGCCATGAGCTCCACTGATTACCACCCAATCTGAAGGGTTCCATGAGTAGGACTCTTTCTGCCTTTGGATGAGTCAAGTTAACACACAACGAAAGTTCCATGTGCTAATAAATACTAGAATGTAGCTCTTATCCACAGCCTGACTCAACAGCATTTCAGAAAACAACACCCATGAAACATGAAAATACACTCTTGGACTCTAGGAATTGCCTGTCTCTTAAGTTCTGTATTCAGACTGTTTAACTTGCTAAAACTTAGCAGCAGGGAAATGACTTCTGTCCTACAGTGAAGGGCTACCCTTAAAGTTCTCCAGTTTGCTCAAAGTTTAATAAGATTCTTGCAATGTATATGTAGGAAACATTTCTTAGCAAACAAGTTGGTGTATCTTTGCCTACTTCTGGAGGATATGAAAAAAACAAAGTCTTACATAAATCCATAACAGAAAACTAAAGAATCTCCAGAGAAAGAAAAAATTAAAACTTCTAATGCTTTAAATACATTGATCCTTTAAGTAGGGGGTGAATGTAACTTCAAAGTAATGGTACAAACATGTGTTTTAGGGGGGTAACACTGTTCTGTGTGCTCATGAGACTAAGTGTGTTAAAAATTTATAAGAACTATACAACCCATGTGGGCAAAACGGTCAGTTTTACTCCATAATTTGAAATTTTTAAAGAAAATAAGTTTAACCTCTAAGGTTTTTCTTTGTGAAGGGCCAAAGAGCAGTTTTAACTTTTCCTTCTTTCACTGTGCACAAACACTTGTGAGCCAAAATATGTCAGTAGCAACTACTAATTGCAACTGATCTATTATATAAGATTCAATTTTACGGGAAAACTCATTCTTTGAGAAGTACCAAAAATATATTTCTGAAAAGAATGACCTCTTTGAGAGAACTGCTCTTATGTTCTTGCCAATTTATATATTTTTTTGAGTAAAGAATCATACTAGAGATCTTCTCCCTAATTTTTAAAACATTACTGAAAGCTAAGTCCTCAATTTCTAGGTAATTTGATTCTTTTAAAGTTTTATACTGCCAGCAGTAACTAAAACAACTCTCTTCAGAAGTTCTTTTTCCTCTAAATGATATATATACAAGGCAAGTTTTTTTCATCATATTAATCTATTCAGAAATAATAAAAATATTAAATGAATTCCTCACCTGCTCTTTACTATTCTTTTAAACTCTGCAGGACTAAGTTTGCTTTAATATAACTTACTACAAAAACTTCTGTATAGGATATTGACTCGCAGCTTTAAAAATATTTTCTAATCGTGAGGCAGGTGGCTTTCCAGTTGTGGTCTGCCGGCTGGTCCGAAGTACGAGGAGGAGTCAGAGCAGTGTCTTGGGGAGGTAGCCAGCTAGCACAACTGTATGCACGTGAGTTTACTCCTAGACACTTGCCAAGGACAACTCGGAAGAACCGGGCATCGCAGAACTACCGTAGTCCCACTACAGCGGCCACACTAACACTCTGACCTTCCCCTCTCACCCTCCACAACATCGCCTTCCCTATCATGAGACGCACAGATAAACTGACTGCTACGTACTGAGAGAGACAGGGTGGAGGACCTGGCCTCTCAAGAACACTCTGTGGAGCGCTCACAGGACCAGGGAGGGTCTCCTGAGGAGGAGGCACACGAAGGAAAAGGGCCTTTCAGATCGGACCAACTCTTTTTTGCCTTCTAGAGTAAACCTATAAGGAAAAAAATCTTCATATATATATGTGTGTGTGTGAATATAATATATAATATATATTATATAGTGTGTGAAAATATATAATATATATATATATCTTCTAAGGTTCTGATAATCATTTCAACATTCACTCTATATTGTGAGTTATTTTAGGGCAAAGAGCCAAAGTAAAAGTTCTAGGAACGCCGGCGCCGCAACTCACTAGGCTAATCCTCCGCCTTGCGGAGCTGGCACACCAGGTTCTAGTCCCAGTCGGGGCGCCGGATTCTGTCCCGGTTGCCCCTCTTCCAGGCCAGCTCTCTGCTGTGGCCCAGGAGTGCAGTGGAGGATGGCCCAAGTACTTGGGCCCTGCACCCCATGGGAGACCAGGAGAAGCACCTGGCTCCTGCCATCGGATCAGCGTGGTGCCCCGGCCGCGGCGGCCATTGGAGGGTGAACCAACAGCAAAGGAAGACCTTTCTCTCTGTCTCTGTCTCTCTCTCTCACTGTCCACTCTGCCTGTCAAAAAAAAAAAAAAAAGTTCTAGGAACACCTTCCCCATAACTTCCCCACAAGTATACAAGTCTAAACGACAGGACTGAGGCCTGAGAAGTGAAAGCATGGAGACACAACACAAACTTGGATGCTACCTTCTTCTCCTGGGCCTGCTGCTCCTTCTCAATGGTCTTCCTGAGAGTCAGTTCTAGATTATCCTTCTCTCTGCACACTTCTAGGTAACATTCCTGCACAGCAGCCATCTCCTTATGGATCTTATCTAAGTCAGACCTTGGGAACACAAAACCAGAAAATGCAAAACAAGCAAGTTTCTTCTAAGGCATGTAAGAGGAGAGTATAGTTTCTACAGCATCAAAGGCAGCTGAACTCTGTTCTTCTCACCTAAGTTGCGAGTGAGTCCCTTCATAAACCTCAAAGAGCTGCTGCTTCTCCAAAGCATGCTTTGCCAAGAGGCTTTCCCGGATCTGGGCTTTCATGGCTTCATGGTGCTGCTGGTAAGTCCTCTCACACCTGGAAGCAGACAACAGAACCTACAGCAATGCCCAGTGTCACTACAAGCCCTGAAATGGTCTGTCTGTCTGTCTGTCTGTCTGTCTCTCTGCCTTCCTTCCTTCCTTTCCTTCCCTCCCAACCTTTCTTGCTAATGCAAACTAGAACACAGATTGGATTGCTTTCTCCCAACCAAAAGTGGCAGTGATTAATCTACAACCAATGAGCTCATGGGAATCTTCAAAATTTTCTTTCCTCAAATGTTTCTACAGAAAAACTAGAAACTTGGATGTGTAAATGCCCCTATCCTTCAAACAAGGATATTAATCTATATTGAAGACTTCGGTTTATAAAAGATTAATACAAATAATTGAGGGTATGGTTCCAAAATTTCAAGTCCTCCATGTTAAACACAAATTCTAGAAGCGCCCAACTTACAGGTAAGTTATGCTCCAAAAGTCTGTTTCCAAGTTTATGACTTGGTATTTGGAAGACATAGTCCCCCTTCCCATAGATTTCTTCTTTATAAAGAACACTTTGGTTCCCAGACTAGCCTTTAAAAAACAAACACTGAGCCATAAATATTTCAGTGGACTGCAGTTTCAGTGGTGCTGCAGAACCCAGCCCACTACATAACATTGTTTCTATGGATAATGTGTTCCAAATTCTAATTTGGGAAGTCCAAGACTCATCTCTGACAATCCAAAATCTCAACAAGGGAGAGTTTATTTCATCATTTTTCTTGAATCTTTTTTTAGGGGAGGTGAGTAGTGTCTTACAGGGGAGGGGACTTAGGAGTCGGATATCAGGCATCTAGATAGACCTTACCTGTCCACAGCTTCTTGTTTATCACGGTCAAAATCCTGTACCATCTGTCTCATTTGATTACATAAATCTTGATTTGTATTTCTCAATTTTTCTTCAGTTTCCTTAAGTTCCTAGGAACAAAAGAATAAACCATTTAGAGGAAACAGGTGTTATTTTCATTGATTAATCTATTTGCTTTAACATTTTGTGCTTGAACTCTGCCCTGTTAACACTGACATAGTATTTTAATAAGTCTAAAAAATCTCTCATTTCTTTTACTTCTGTAAGAAAGCTACATATCAAAGTTTTTTACAGAAGTTAAATTTTCATATTTTAATATGTATGAAAAAAAATTTAACCAGAGAGGTAGAGATGTATTAGCTGGTAAAATGAGTCTTAGAAGTCAAAAATCTGCTGGCACCGCGGCTCACTAGGCTAATCCTCCGCCTTGCGGCGCTGGCACACCGGGTTCTAGTCCCGGTCGGGGCGCCGGATTCTGTCCCGGTTGCCCCTCTTCCAGGCCAGCTCTCTGCTGTGGCCAGGGAGTGCAGTGGAGGATGGCCCAGGTGCTTGGGCCCTGCACCCCATGGGAGACCAGGAGAAGCACCTGGCTCCTGGCTCCTGCTATCGGATCAGCGCGGTGCGCCGGCCGCAGCACGCCAGCCGCGGCGGGCATTGGAGGGTGAACCAATGGCAAAGGAAGACCTTTCTCTCTGTCTCTCTCTCTCACTGTCCACTCTGCCTGTCAAAAAAAAAAAAAAAAAACAAAGTCAAAAATATTATGTAAGGTTTTGCTTTTTGGTCAAGGGCTGGCTAAGGAGAAAATATGTCCATTGGCCATGCCAGTATACAGAAGGGACACAGAATTCCACTACTGTATGTTTCAGTGAAACTCAGTAACCCAACAGGAAAGGGAAATAACTGTAGTCCACAATCATCACGTACTACTGTACTTGTCCACTGACTTGCATTGTCTCAGTGTTGAAAAGTCTACTGTATTCTTTGAATTTAATGAGTCTGCACACAAATTCTCATAAAATGTAGAAAATTCTTATTCACCTGGTTTTGTTGTTGTAAAACTTGAATTTCATTTTTAAGTTGCAAAATGTCATCTCTGACAATCATATCAAACGTAGAAGGGTCAGGCCATAACTGATTTGTTGGTTTTTCCGAAGTTTTATTCTGAATGTTAAAAAGAAGTAAAAAGTTTTCCAGGGTCTTAAAACATTCTAAGTATACATTTTTGAAATAAGTTAATACTTACAAAGAAATTGCAAGACACAGTTAAAATAATTTCCACTTACCTTTATCTTCTCCAAGTATACCACAATTAAACAAGGAAATTAACATGCATATAGTACTTTCAACAAATCTACAGACTCTGTACAAATTCTTCCTATCGTTCTCTAATGTCCTTTTCCTTACCTAAGATTCTTAAATCCACAGTACGCTAACTTGTCAGTCTCTTAGGTCTCCTCCAATCTAGGATAATTTCTGACCTTTGTCTTTTCAACTGCTGACATTTTCTAAGAGTGTACTAGCCAGTTATTTGGGCTTATTTCTTTATTAAATTCAGGTTATACAACTTTGGAATGAATGTTCTTTGCAAGAAACACAGGTATTATCAGTGGTAATAATCACTTGATAAAAGTAGTGACTGGCAGGTATCTTCATTGAAAATTTACTCATTTTTGATTTGTGATTAATAAGTTTTCTTATGATAAAGCTCAAGACTATGCAAATATCCTAATTTTCATCATACCCACTAATTTTAGGACTTCACTGATGTATTTATACCTGTATTAACTTATGGAAATACTTTATTTAATAGTAAAATTCTTAGGACTCACGATACAGACTTTGGTAAATTGCTTACCAGAAAGAGTACACAAATGCATACTATCAAATGGTGTCTAACTCTAACTCTCCTCACCTCCAATTGCAATGATTTTTTTTTAAGATTTATTTTTTATTTATTTGAAAGATTTATAGAGGTAGAGACAGAAAAGTATTTTACTCGCCGATTCATTCTCCAAATGGCCACAATAGCCACAGCTGAACCAAGCCAAAGCCAGGAGCTTCTTCTGGGTCTCCCATGTGGGTGCAGGGGACCAAGCACTGTGCCATCTTCTGCTGCTTTCCCAGGCACATTAGCAGGAAGCTGCATCAGAAGTGGAGCAGCCAGGACTTGAACTGGTGCCCATATGGGATGCTGGCACTGAAGGCCAGGGCTTTAACCCACTACGCCACATTGACAGCCCCAGCAATGATTATCTTTAAATCATCATTGTATTTGATGTGGAAAGGGAATCTAGTAATTGCTTTCCTTTGCAATTCTTGTGTTATACCTCCATTCTTCGTTTTCTCATCATCCCAGATTTGTCTATTTATACAACTATGCACATTTTCCTCTGAGCATGAGTGTTTTCCTTATTTTTTTATTCATTGAGAGAGAACACAAATATATTACAACTATGTTCTACTTGACTTGTTGGTTTGTGTATGTATCTGGACTCTGAGGTCTCATCTACAATGCTTAAAATACATCCTATACCAAGGTCCATTCTACTTGGGGTAGAGGGAGGGAAAAGGTGAGTAAGCAGGTACATAGATTCCCATGTAGGGTGACAGAACAGCAGGGTTTGGATTGGTTTTCCAATGTGGCATTGAGCAGTGGAGTCTTCACATCCTTTAGGGGACAACAGCTCTCGTTGAAGTTTCTTTACATACATCAACCCTTCCCACAGCCACTTCTACTCCAGCCAGAAGAGAGAAAAGCGGGGGCCAGCATTGTGTCGCAGCAACCCGTTCGAGTTCTGGCTGCTCCACTTCTGATCCAGCTAATGGCCTGGGAAAAGCAGCGGAAAATGGCCCAAGTGCCTGGGCTGCTGCCACCCATGTTGGAGACCCAGATGAAGCTCCTGGCTTCGGTCTGACCCAGCCCTGGCTGTTGCGATCAACTGGGAAGTGAACCAGCAGATGGAAGATCTCGGTCTCTCCCTCTGTGTAACTCTGAGTTTCAAATGTATAAATAAACCTTTAAAATGAGAGAGAAAAGAGCTAAGAATTCTCACTGTGTTTAGTTTCTCTCAGACTAGAGAGGTGGGGAGGAGGTACTACAGAGATTTAGGATTTTTACTGACTCACTAGGAAGGCTTTTTCACACTTGATCTTAGCCAAAAGGCCGAGAAGCGAAAGGCTTTTTCTTCTAATTTGATCTCTACTTTTTAAAGTTTATGATATTTACATTTCTTTACAGACTTGTAATTTTTTATACTGGGAATGAAAATATCATTGTACTGGTACTCTGACAAATCTTTTCATGGCTAGTTTTTTTGTCCCCTCCACCCATGGTGTCTTTATTTCTAAATGTCAGAGTTCTCGGTCAGACTTGAAAACACTTTTAAACAAGTCCTTGGCAACCTCCAAATTATTCTTGGTGATCTTGATATCTCTCTGGCCATACTTGGGACTAGAGAGGCACACAAAGATCACCTTATGGCCAGTGCTGACATAGCCACTGCACGAACACAAATACATGACAGCTTAGTACCTTTACCAAGATCTTTAAAAAGAGAAAGATCACTTGAATGTCACCAAAAGCATTTCAGGAATATGGAACACATTATCGTCAACAGAATAAGAGATTTAATATACCAACCCATGCTATTTTCCTAGTTTCTGTGTCTAAAAAGATTCTAGGTAAAGACCTTCTGAACTGTCTATTGAACACAGCCTATCCAGGCTTTGCCATCAGTAAGCCTTTCTGGTTTCCCTTATGCCTTTCTCACATTCTACCTTTTTTTTTTTTTTTTTTTTGACAGGCAGAGTGGACAGTGAGAGAGAGAGACAGAGAGAAAGGTCTTCCTTTTGCCATTGGTTCACCCTCCAATGGCCGCCACGGCCGGCGCGCTGCAGCCAGCGCACCCGCGCTGATCCAAAGGCAGGAGCCAGGTGCTTCTCCTGGTCTCCCATGGGGTGCAGGGCCCAAGCACTGGGGCCATCCTCCACTGCACTCCCTGGCCACAGCAGAGAGCTGGCCTGGAAGAGGGGCAACCAGGACAGAATCCGGTGCCCTGACCGGGACTAGAACCCGGTGTGCCAGCGCCGCAAGGCGGAGGATTAGCCTATTGAGCCGTGGCGCCGGTCTCACATTCTACCTTAACAACTCAGTTGGTCAATAAGAATGAATGGTATAATATTTCATCCACTCCTAATCACTGCCTATGTATGGCCAGTATCTAAATGTCATCACATCATATCTTGGCAATGTCATAAAGCAGCATATTCTGAATTTATAACTGCAGATAAGGTTTCTGAGAAAGAATTCAGCTTCATATAAACTGCTATGAATAGTGATAGACCATAAAGTAAAAATCTGCAATTCTCTGTAATAACCTTAACTTACTCTATATAAAATGAATACAAAGCATGTATAAAAAAAATCAATATCTTTAAAGTGTTCATTTGTAAAAAGCCTAATAGTTACATATTTTTTCTGGCCTTAACACTCAAAGAATACTTAGGAGAAGATTTTGATGGCCCAGGTCTCTAGTATAAGATACCCAGTGAAGTTTAAACTGATGTGCTCTTTCTTTCAATCGATTTCCATGTAGCAAGCAGAGAAGTTCTATATCCTTATATTAACCTCAGGATTTGATGACGGGTATGTTCATTCCTTGAAATATTGAGCCACTTAAATCTTTCTGGCCTTACTAAAGATCTCAGAAAGATTGAGCCTATATAATAAAGACTTCTATTCATGTGCCATACTTTCTAGTCACACCAGCTGACTTGCCACATGACTTCCCGTATTTCTGTGCAAGGCTGCAATGTCCCCTCCCACCTTCCATCCAGGATTTCTCCCTCAGTACAAAATTCCCTATCCTCAAAGATTTCACCCCCAAATAGAGTTAGTTATTCCTTCTCACAGCACCTCATTCAAACTAGTAGCAACCTTAATAAAGTTGGAGGTGTGTACTGTTAAATATGATAGCCCAATTACCACATATGGTCATCAAGCACTTGAAGTATGGCTGGTCCAAACTGAAGTGTGATGTTAGTATAAAATACATGCTACAGTTCAAGGACTTACCACATATTCCCAAATGTGATCCATCACATCAGTAAATTTTATATTGATTACATATTCACTTGGTAATGTTTTGCACATACAGACGGTACCTGACATAAGATGGTTCTGCTTAGAATTTTTCAACTTCACAATGAACTAAGACTGGTAGATATTCAGTAGAAACCATATTTCAAGTTTTGAATTTTGATCTTTTCCTGTAGTGGTATGTGGTACAATACTCACTCAGCACTCTCTTGTGATAACTAACAGCGAGCCACAGCTCCCAATCAGTCATGCAATCACAAAAGGAAACAGCTGATACTGTATTCTACTCAGAAGTCGAATATTTCATACAACACTTAATTATAAGACAGACTTTGTGTCCGAAGACTCTAACCAACCTCAGGTTAATATAAGTATTCTGACTACAGTTAAGGTAGGTAAGGCTAAGCTTTGTTAAGATAGATATATTGGCCGGCACCATAGCTCACTAAGCTAATCCTCCACCTGTGGCACCAGCACCCCGGGTTCTAGTCCCGGTCAGGGCGCCAGATTCTGTCCCAGTTGCTCCTCTTCCAGTCCAGCTCTCTGCTGTGGCCTGGGAAGGCGGTGGAGGATGGCCCAAGTGCTTGGGCCCTGCACCCGCATGGGAGACCAGGAGGAAGCACCTGGCTTTTGGCTTCAGATGGGCGCAGCACGCCAGCCATAGCAGCCATCTAGGGGGGTGAACCAACGGAAGGAAGACCTTTCTCTCTGTCTCTCTCTCTCACTGTCTAACTCTGCCCGTCAAAACAAAACAAAAAGACAGGTATATTAAATGCCAATTCAGTGTATAATACCTTCAACTTATGATGGGGTTACACTTCAATAAATCATCCATCTTAAATCAAGCAGCACCTACACTGAGTTAAACTATTAAAACACACTAAATTTAATTTCACTCATTACCAGAAAATTTAGAATTAACGTGTGGTGCCTGTTATATGTTTCTATTGGACAATACTGTTCCAGATTCTAAGTTCCTTCAAGGAATGGCGATTGTTTCATCACTGAATCCCATAAGATGCTGTAGCAAACACCTTTAGAAAAAAACAACTATCCTTCCTCCATATGCCTCCCAATCATGCTTTTTTTTTTATTATACAAAGAGTTTCATGATAAAATATGTGAGAAAGAAGAAAGTTTGAAAGTGTTCATTGGCTGGGGCTGGCATTGTGGCATAGTGGGTTAAGCCTATGCCTGCAATGCCAATAGTCCATATGGGCACCAGTTTGATTCCTGGCTGCTCCACTTACAATCCAACTCCTTACTAATGTGCCTGGGAAAACGGAGGCTGGTCTGAGTCCTTGGGACCCTGCACCCATGTGCGCAACCTGGAAGAAGCTCATGGCTCCTGACTTTGGCCTGCTCTAGCCCTGGCTGTTGCAGTCATTTGAGAAGTGAACCAGCAGATAGAAGATCTCTTTCTCTCTCCCTTTCTCTCTGTAACTCTGCCTTTCAAATAAATAAATCTTAAAAATAAAAAGGTGCTCATTGGCTAATATAAATGCCTATGAATTTGAGGTTTTTTTAATTTATTTGAAAGTTCTAAAGAGAGAGAGAAAGAAAGAGAGAGAGACAGAGAGAGAGAAAGGTCTTCCATCTGCTGGTTCACTCCCCAAATGACCACAAAGGCCAAAGCTGAGTTGATCCGAAGCCAGGAGCTTCTTGCAGGGGTCCAAGGACTTGGGCTATTTTCTGCTGCTTTCCCAGGCCATAGCAGAGAGCTGGATGGGAAGAGGAACAGCCAAAACTAGAACCAGTGCCCATATGGGATGCCAGTGCTGCAGGCTGGGACTTTAATTCACTGTGCCACAGCACCAGCCCCTTGAGTATCTTCTTAAAACCATATGTTAGTCAAGTTATTACTTCCTCTCCCTTTCTCCCCATGTAGGAGGTGGATGGAAATGTGTATTAATTATTTAATTATTTAATTTATTAATTAAATGTGTATTAATTAATGTGGATTAATTCCAAATATTTACTGAGCAATTACACAGGGAGTTAAAGACAATATTTCCAGGGAATCCTTATATGGCAAGTTGAAGAACAGACATAAGCAAGGAATACTAAAGTAACACTTAAAAAAAATCTGAATTTAAATGCAGACTTTGAGAAGTTGCCATGGCAAAAGGCTAGCTGAACTAAACAAGTACTTAAAGATGAGACAGCTCCCTTTGATCTACTGATCTACCAAACGACAGAGGCAAAGGGAAACACTAAATAAGCAACAGAAGACACAGCCTTTATCAACTGCCACAGGTAATAAAGTGTATCTGTGTGACAAATACTATTAGTGAGCATCCCACATAAGTGTCGATTCAAATCCTGACTTCACTTCCAATTCCAGCTTCCCACTAATGTGTATCCTGGGAGGCAGCAGGTGATGGCTCAAGTACCGTGGGTCCCTGCCACCCACATGGGAGACCTAGATTGAGTTCCAGGCTCCTGGCTTCACTCTGGGCTTGCTCTAGCTGTTGCAAGTATTTGGTAAATGAAGAAGCATAGGGGAGATTTCTCTTTCTCAAACTTTCAAATATTTAAAATAAACAAATGCCATTAGTAACTTCAAGATACCTGAGTTGGGCGGTGGACGCCAAATCAGGCTCCTATTCTCCTACCTTTAGGCTACTCTCCCAAAATTCTTGAAGGAACCAACTCTAGTCTTCTAACACAAATCGAGACAAGCTTTCATTCCCATCCTTTTTAAAGAAATCTATAGCAGCAATTAAAACAGCTCCACTTAAAGATTAAATGTGCTAGTGGGGAAATGAGGTAGTTCTTCCTAATTTGTTAACATTAAAATCAATACTGTACTCATCAGATGCAGGTTATTCAAAGGAGAAAACTAGGCAGGGCAGGAATTTGCAAGTAAAAATACACTATTCTGGAAAATAGGCACAATTAAAATCCCATTAAAATTAGCACCATAGAACGTCTTACGTATTGTGCTTTAATAGGACTGTTTTAATGAATACAACTTTCAAAGGATTAAAACAGGAAGTAAAAAATTATTTCCATCCAGGAGCAAAAAGGAGTTTGTCACCTACATTCCTCCCCGCCACCCTTCTTCCCTTTCCTTAGTTACTTTGTGAAATATGGGATGTTTAAAGAAAAATAGTCAGGCATCCCTAAAAATCTCTGATACCATGAACTCATGGACATAACCCTGACAAGTCATATGTCTTAGGCAATTTGAAACTTCTGTATCCTCAGAAGGGTCACAAACTCCTCCAGCCCCACATTCCCCCATCTATAAAATCTGAAAAGTAACTAACCAGAAAACACAGAGATGGGTCTCAATGACCGACATAACCAGACTCCATGCCCTTCCCAAGTCTTACCACCACACTCCCCTTACACAGAACATGGGCCATGGAAATCTCATAGCAAACTGTTACAGGATTTGACTACACAGCACTTGTCTTAACTAGATTTTAGAGTACTCTTCATACAAGCCAATCTTGAAGAAAAGCAGACACTATGCTATGTAGAATGCTTTCTTATATCCTTGGCAAAAGACTTTTACCTAATTGGCACCTCAGTTACTATGTGCCAAGAGAAACTAGAAAATATCACTTTAAATGGCATTTCCTTCTATAAACTTAACTTTCTAAAATAATCAAATTAACCTATGAAACCTAAAGATTTAATAAAAGGTAAAGAGCACAAAAATTGCCTTTTTTTAAACTCTACAGGCTCAAAAAGACAGCAAAACATCTATAGAAAATGTATAGGAATGAAATGATCATTTCAGGATATAACTCATTTTTAGCTCTTGTTAATACTCCTGTGGAACTGTGGTCTTCCTACTTTTTACTTGTTGAACATTATGATTAGTGGTGAATTAAGCCTGTGAATACAGAATAGGGTAAAATTATGGCTTTGCAAAAACTGATTAAGATAGGGAGGAAGAGAGGAGGGTTGGGGAGCAGGGGAATGTGGTTGTCTTCTTGAAACTGTATCTATAGAACACATAAAATCTCTTTATATTAATAAAAACTTGTTTAGAAAATACCTCTACAAGCTCTACAAACCTCCACTCCATTGCTTTTCTCATCCTTCAGTTGTTGGAGTTCTTCAATTTTCTGATGACAGCCTCTGAGGTCATTCTGTAATTGAGACACCAGATGACGCTTCACTGAGTTGCTATCCAGCAAACGCTGCACTTCTGCCTTCAACTTTAGGATGACCTCATCTTTCAAAAGTTCTTCATTTGAGTCTTCTTGCTGCACTATGCTAGTGGAGAAATTATAGAATGAATCAAGTAACAGACCAAGCATGGTTGTTCTTTACAAGTACTAGCTATAGTGATGAACATGTTTCATATACAAATTGCAAGACAGTTGTAAACTTGGTCACACACAGGGATATTGCCTTGGTTGCTGGTGTCCTCATATAAGATTCTTCATGCAGAGACCATTCTTAAGCTTAGTCTTGCTGCCTTACCTGGCTGACATTTGTGCTTTGGGGAAACTGTGTGATACACGTACATAGCTTTAGGATTCCAACAGAAGAAACACTAGCCATCCTAACCAACAATTTGTTATCTCTTTAAACTTAATAAAACATGGATCTGAGTGGGTATCTGGAAAAGCCATGCTAAATTAACCCAAATTTTAGTTTCAATAAATGTAAAGTTGGGGACCCAGCGCCGTGGCGCACTGGGTTGATCCTCTGCCTGCGGCACCAGCATCCCATGTGGGCACTGGGTTCTGGTCCCGGTTGCTCTTCTTCCAGTCCAGCTCTCTGCTGTGGCCTGGGAGGGCAGTGGAGGATGGCCCAAGTGCTTGGGCCCTGCACCTGCATGGAAGACTAGGAGGAGGCACCTGGTTTCTGGCTTCGGATCAGCGTAGCTCCGAACATTGCGGCCATTTTGGGGGTGAACCATTGGATGGAGGATCTTCTGTCCATCTCTCTCTCTCTCTGTAACTATACCTCTCAAATAAATAAATAAAAAATCTTTAAAAAAAAAATGTAAAGCTTGGAGTGAGATATTCTGTTCTTGCCATGATAGATTAACAAGGACTAAATTTACCTTCCCCCTTAAAAAACCAGAAAGTAAATCAAATGGATGAAGCCCCAGTTTTCAACCATGAGACAGCAGGCAGCTCAGGATAGTGATTCCCGAGGAAAGGAAAAGAAGGTAAGTACTACAATGGGCCCCGTCATCTACCAGCAGGCCCCAGCACAGAGGGGAAACCCAGAGTGACCTCAATGCGCTGCACACAAAATGTTACAAGTGTGAAGAGGCCAGAGGGGCTAAAGGTGAAGGGAGGAGAATACAAGGAAGAAAGGAGCTGCACAGAAAACGAGCTCTGGAGATCTGTGTGTGCACATCAGGCTGTAGAAAGAACCAGAGGAAAAGAATATCAAGTAATAGTGCATCAGCATGGGGTTCTTAATTGTAATAAATGGTCCACACTACTGTTAACATGTCAGTAGGGGAAAATGGAAGCAGCATATACAGGAACTTTCTGTAGGATATACATCATTCTGTAACTAGAAACAGTTCTAAAAAATACTCTATTTTCTAAGAAAAATTAACAATAGTACCTAGGTCAAAATTTTTACTATTCTTCAGTCTCAGATGATTCCAAACAAATACTGGAATATTGTGGGTCCCAGAGCAATGGCACAGTGGGTAAAGCCACTGTCTGCAGTGCCAGCATCCCATGTGGGCACTGGTTCGAGTCCCAGCTTCTCCACTCCCGATCCAGCTCTCTGCTATGGCCTGGGAAAGCAGTAGAAAATGGCCCAAGTGCTTGGGCCCCAGCACCCGCATGAGAGACCCGGAAGAAGCTCCTGGCTTCAGATTGGCCCAGCTCTGGCTATTGCGGCCATTTACAAGTATGGCCATTTGGGGAGTCAACCAGTGGATAGATCTCTCTCTCCCTCTGCCTCTCCATACCTCCACCTTTCAAATCAATCTTGAAAAGAAAATTTTTTTTAAATAAAAAAATTTTGTGAGTGTGTGTATGTGTGTGTGCGTAGAGAGAGAGAATTAACTGTTGGGTAGATTTACTTTTAATGTTATAAAAGATGCACCTTGCAATTCATATATGCAACTTTTGTATATAAATACTATGTAAGTATGTCTATATATATAGATTTCACATATTTAAATCACTTCTGTTTGAATAGAAATGGAAGATAAGAAATATGAATAGAATATATAAGAAATAGAAAATATTTACAATGTTATCTTCCTGGGCTATTGATGTGCCAAATTAATTTCAAACAAAGCACTTATTTTGCTCAGTTAACAAACTGTGAATCCCTAGCTGCATCTCTTAGTGGATGTTGACTACTGAAATAGCACATCCTGTACTCCTAATGGCAGCCAAGTTGTAGAGCAGAGAAAGTGCTTGGTAAAATCATCTTCTCTTCTCTCTCCTCAAAAGGGAAAAGCCAGTGGTGAGCATCACTCCTGCATGAGGCTGACCACTGGGCCTGTGGACGTTAGGTCCCCTGTGAAGCCTGCTGAGATGACTAAAGGGGAAAAGGCATGCCACCTGCTGAATGTTTATTTGAGCTTAGCAGCCAACTCTAATAAGGGAGAGAGGAAGCCGTCTGCAGGGGGCATGCAGATTTAGCTACTCAAATTCCATGAAAGAAAAATAGAACACTGAGGCTAAGCCCTTAAAGTTCACTAGGCAGGAGCTTGAGGGGCGTGGTAGCTGGTAATAAAGGCGTGGAACTGCTAGTATCTGGGTCACTGATTTGAAAGCAACTCAAAGATTCTCAACACTGGGAAAACTGTTGGCTTCCTCTTATTCTAAGAATCACAGTCCTCTGGAGGAAAGGCATGGATCACATCTCTTCTTTCAGCTGGATCTGAGAATAAGTGTTTCCGGTTGTCCTCAAAGCCAGATAACCATCTGTTAAACTGTGGGAGAGGGGAGCGAATGTTTCTTCCCTTATCCTGCACTTCACTGGCTGTCTTCACACTGAACCTCAATGACCAAGCACGCTCTGTGCTGGGTTAGTCTCTGCTTCCCATCAGGAGCATGCCCATCCTTCCTTCCACTGTGATAATGACGTGCTGCCTCAGGACTACCCTCTACAGGGAACATGCTTTAAAACTACTGTAGGATTTTGGATATGAAAGCCAAGTACATAGAAAATACAAAAGTAGAACATATTTTAGTATACATTATGACAAAGTAAGTCTATCTGAAAAGATAAATAATGTATTTATCCAATTCCTAGGGCAATTATGGCACAAACTATAGCAATAACAAATTAGAGACAAATATTTTTTGATGTAAATAACTCAAAAATGAACAACATAAACAAGAACGAAGTTTAAGGCAAAAATGTCTGTCATAAATATGAACAAACCGAGAACTGGGCCTTGCCTGAGTTTTTGATTCAAGTACTAGTTCCACTAATTGTTTCTTCAAGAGCAAAGGAGTTTCCCAACACTAAGGCCATGATATTGGACCTGATGTTTTTCACAAAGTTGAAGAGCAAAAACTTCTTACAAAGTACGTGTTGAATTAAAAGTGGATTAATATAAAATGTGATCACTAGTATATTTTAACCAACCTATTTAATAATAGTAATGGCTATCATTTATTAAGTGTGTTATGTGTTATGTGCTAGGGCATAATATGAGGCCCTTTATACTTACAATTTTAATCCTCACTTTAGCCTCCAAGGGATATCAATCTGAGAAGAAAATGGGCTCAGAAAAGTGAGGAACCATGCTCCTGGTCATACAACTAGTGACAAGTCGCAAAGCTATCATTTAAAACAGTTTGACTCTGAAGCCCAGGTTCTACACACCAGCCACTTAGAATCTGACATCAACAGGAAATGAGGCCTTTGTAGCATTGAGTTTTCCAGAAGATCACATTTTAATGTTTAAACTGTTATTTAAAATCTGTCTAAAAAGCATAAAACACTCTTCCTCTTTTGCTTTAATTATCCCAAGTGGAAGCCTCTCTTCAACAACTTGGGATCGTCATGGAGGACATCTTAGCACAGATCAATAAATACATGAATGTATACAGCATATCTGCTTTTATGCTTGGCAACTCCAGCTACCTGGGTCTCCACAGTTCTCTCCTTGCTAAGGACCAGCTTTGTCTGGTTTAAGCACCACCAGGACCTTTCTCAATCCCCTGTTCCAGCTACTCTGCAGTTAGGCAATCTAAGTCAATATGGCCCTGGGGTAAGAGTTTGAAGGTGCCTCCTATTTAATACATCAAATAATCTAGCTTGGCTATTTTCTTCATTACTTCCTTCTGGATTGTAGATGTGATCTATATAAATGAGAATCCCTGGAGACAGATCTCCAGCTAAATGGAGCTCTACTAAACTAATAGTTTCACATTTTCAAATGATTGCTTCAGATTTCAAATTATTGAATCTGATCTTACTGTCCCTCACAGTATTAAAATACTTAACTTCTTTTTTTTTTTTGACAGGCAGAGTGGACAGTGAGAGAGAGAGACAGAGAGAAAGGTCTTCCTTTTTGCCGTTGGTTCACCCTCCAATGGCCGCCGCGGCCGGCGCGCTGCGGCCGGCGCACCGCGCTGATCCGATGGCAGGAGCCAGGAGCCAGGTGCTTTTCCTGGTCTCCCATGGGGTGCAGGGTCCAAGCACCTGGGCCATCCTCCACTGCACTCCCTGGCCACAGCAGAGGGCTGGCCTGGAAGAGGGGCAACCGGGACAGAATCCGGCGCCCCGACCGGGACTAGAACCCGGTGTGCCGGCGCCGCTAGGCGGAGGATTAGCCTAGTGAGCCGCGGCGCCGGCCTAAAATACATAACTTCTAAAACTTATTACAGAGCAAGCCATTTAGAGATTTATATACTTGTATTTAGTTGTGGGATGCCTGAAATACAACATGCATTAACACTCTCACTAAACAATAAACTATAAACCATTTGCTGATAGTGAGGGCCAAATTCATTCAAGATAAGCTTTCTGGGCCAAGCATTTGGCTGGGCATTTAAGATGCCCATGTCATGGGACCAGCGTTGTGGGGTAGCATGTAAAGCCACAAGTTGTGATGCCAGCATCCCATATGGGTGCCAGTTCCTGTCCTAGCTGCTGCACTTCCATTCCAACTCCCTTTTAATGACCTGAAAAAGGCAACAGAAGATGACCCAAATGCTTGGGCCCCTCCCACAACATGGGAGACCTGGATAGAACTCCTGGCTTTAGCCCAGCTCCATCCTGGTCATCAGGGCCACTTGAGGAGTGAACCTATATATGGAAGGCCTCTCTCCTTGTCTCTCACTCTAACTCGACTTTCAAATAAATAAATTTTTAATAAGAAAAACAAAAAGATGTCCATGTCCTACACTGGAGTACCTGGGTTCAAGTCCCTACTCTGTCTCCCAATTCCATCTTCTTGCTAATGTAACACCCTGGGAAACAGCAGGTAATGGTTCAAGTAATTGGGCTCCTGCCACTCATGTGGAGACCTGGATTGAGTTCTGTGTTCCCAGTTCTCAGATTTGGCTCAAGCTGAGTCCCAACCTTGTAGGCATTTAGGAGCTCTCTCTTTGCCTCTCAAAACAAAAACAAACAAAAACTTTAAAAGATTAGAAAATGCTTCCTTGGCCTAAAAGCAATCTCTTCCCAACACCACATCCCTTAACTCGATCCCTTTGTACTTACTTGTTAACAAGTATTTCTGCAAGTTCCCCACTAGAACAAACACAAACTCACTGTGGGAGTACATCTTTTGTACTCTATTCACAGAGCCTTGCTTAGCACCTTCCAGTGCTTCCAAAGTGTAAATGAATTCAAACCTCATTCATTCACCCTCTTAAAGGTTTAACACTCTCTCCTACCACCACCACCGCTTCCTCCATCAGTCCCCGGGAGGGTTGACAAAGCACTCTCTTCTATGAGATTGCTAAAATATTTCCATTAGGTAACAGAAAAATGGCAGAATCCCTATTTTTATTTATTTATTTATTTATTTGACAGGCAGAGTGTGAGAGAGAGAGAGAGAGAGAGAGAGAGAGAGAGAGAGAGAAAGGTCTTCCTTCCGTTGGATCACTCCCCAAGTGGCTGCTACAGCTGGCACGCTGTGCCAATCCAAAGCCAGGAGCCAGGTGCTTCCTCCTGGTCTCCCATGTGGGTGCAGGGCCCAAGCACTTGGGCCATCCTCCACTGCCTTCCCGGGCCACAGCAGAGAGCTGGACTGGAAGAGGAGCAACCGGGACAGAATCCGGCACCCCAACCGGGACTAGAACCCAGTGTGCCGGCGCTGCAGGCAGAGGATTAGCCTAGTGAGCCGCGGTACCAGTTAGAATCCCTATTTTAAAAGTAAGGTTACAGTAGTGATGTTTCAAGAAAAATAAATGCTTATTTTTCTTCAGTGAGTTTCTCAATGAAAAATGCTATGTATGTGCTTTCAATACAGTGTTAACATACAAAAAGTCCTCACCATAATAATTAGAACAGATATATAATCTTATTTTAGAATTTACTTTGTATATTTCAACTACATTAACCATGTTTTACCTTTCTAAAATGAAAATGTCTGGATATTGAAAATAGTATAATATCAAAATGAGATTTCTGTTCATTTTGATTTCAGACATTTACATTTCATTAAAAATTACTACAATATACTGTCCCACATTCAAGATTTCATGTCTGGGAACACCTGACTACCATTCAGCAACAGTATTATTCTTGCAGGTTGTTCTACAGTCAACTTTTCTCTCAGTACCTGTTAACTTTGGATTTCTTCTGCTTGTTTTTTTTAATACCCAAATCCACATATGATTCACTGAGTTCTATATTTAACTTTCCTTCTGAATCAGTTGGAAGTATTCCTAGTTTTGCAGCAGATTCATAGAGAGAAATTTCTTCTTTTAGCGCTGTTAATTCTTCCTAGAACATAAATAAAAAATTTTCATTATTTTCCTATATGAAAAGACCACTGTTTCAAAATTTGTCATCAACAGAAGTACTTCTTCAAATGCATTATTAGCAAATATTATAAATGACTTCATAAAGGATAGCATGCATCAGGTTTTCAAGTAAATTGAATGAACTAATGACTAAACGAAGGAGAAAGCGATCATAAGCCGTTTCTGCCACATCTCACTCTCTCACTGTTTTATCCTCCATGAACAGTGCCCCATGAGTTGAGATGATGGCAGCGCCTTTTGGCTTTCTGGAGGGGAGGACAAAGCACGCTGGTTTTCAAAGAATGTGATGTACTTTATAGTATGCCCGTGGTGAAGCTGGAAAATACCTCTTTCAGTGGAAGTAATGCGGGGACCCTTCCCCAGTGTTTTTTTCATCCTCCAGAAAAAACATAAGCAGTGCTGGAGGAGGATGTGAAAGAGCTGCAGTTCAGTTAAATGTCTCCCACACCTACGGATAAGCTTGTCTCTGAAATACACCCACAGATGAAAGGATACATCACATGAAGGAGTTGGCAGGCAGACCAGCAGGAGAAGAGAAGGGCCTGTCTCTGCAGTGAGACAAACCTGGGTTTGGATGCCCCAATGTGTGAGTAAGGTTGTGAACCACTCCCATGAGCTAACCTGAAGATGGTCCAACTACCACCAAAATCAAGCAGAGTGATCCAAGAGTCAAAGAAGCGATATACTCACTGCTTAATTCAGTTACCCACAGGAGCTCTTCCCAGCGGCAATACTCACCTGCAAAGCCTTGTTCATGCTCTCACTCATAGCATACGCCTTCTGTGCTTGCTGCAGTTGGATCTGTAGCTGGGCCACCTCCTGTACTGAGCCTGTAGGGAAAGAATCAGGGGTACACTGGAAGTAAGAGGTCAAAGGGATCAGAAGGTGGCATTCGGCTTTATTACCACTCTCCTTCTTGGTGTACAGGTACAGAGCGAGTGGGACACAGAAGGCACAGATGTGGTCGAGGCATTTCCAAGATTCAGCACAGCTTCCTGTATGTCCTTGAGTGTGACACTCAAGTCCTTTCATGGGAGCACAACATTCCAGCTCAACGCCAGAGAAACAGTTTGTTGGAACCCATTTGTCCTCCATTAAGAAAATTACACTTGGTGCCTTTGGCTTCTTTCTAAATGCTTCTATTTATTTCCAGCACCCCCACCTCCACATAGGAAAGAAGTCTATGAGGGCTGTACTTCTGGAACCTTAGTAACCCAATATTTTAAATGTTCTAGGGAAGTTCCCACTTGGAAAGGACTTTATTGAGTTCCCCCAAAAGAAAATGACCATCTGGGAAATGGTTAAGTGAAGTAATCATGGGCTTATTATGCAGCTAAAGAGAACCATATTTCCAAAGACAGTAATGGCCAGGAAAAAGGATCACCAAGTGGGGAAAAAGAAAAAGGATACAAAAGTAAACAGGGAGGGGAAAACTAGAGTGGACTCAAATTTTGCCTCCCACCAAAATATATACACGTTTAGGCAGTCCTTGACTTCAGTACTAACAACTTTTGAAAAACCTACCCCTTCATACAATGTCCCAACAGTATGAATTAACTTTTATATGCCAAAGTGTGACTTTCCTCTATCAATTAATGAATAACCACTGACCTAGTTTGCTGCTACTCAGCAGCAAACAGGCAGTTTTGTCAGTACAGCCATCTTTGTACAAATGTATTTTATTGTCCTTTACCCCAGCATCATTTCATAAAAATTCATATGAAATAAAGCTGCTTACGAAACTGAAGTGATCGGAAGCAAATGTTTCCAACTTAACAGCATAGAGAATATGATAGAAATCTTAGTTACAAACAAAAACAACTCCCTGGCCTCGATGACCAATTAAGCTATTCCACTGTGTAGGGGGTAAAAAAAAAAAAATCATAGAAGTTATACAAAAGGATAGAACTATATGATCAAATATTGAGTTTAAAACCACAAAATACAATGGGATTTCTGAATGAATGTTGGCTTTCAGGTAAAGAGCTCACCTTAGGACATGTGCTTTACTGTTTTGCATACTCAGCTTTGCTATGCTTTCAGAAATGTACTATATACAGCGGCAGGACATTGTGTGTGTACATTCATTTCACTTCAAGTAATATTTAAATATGAATGATAATGATCTCAAAGTATTTGGGTTATTGGTTATTTGTATTTGGTACTGTATACTTGTCTACATTTTCCAAATTACCCAATAAGAATTAACTAGATTTTTACAGATATAACAATTTTTTTTTTACAAGGAAATGAAATTTGTTGCTGGTTGTCTTTTCTGTCTCCTGGATTTTGTAATTCATGGAGCCTACTGTGTTCCCTCTGCATGTTATCCTGGCTTTCTGGGAAGTTGATAGCTCAATCAGAAACTCACCTGATTGCAACAAGTGGGCACACTGGTTTTGACTCTCCTCTAGACTTCTTGTCAACCTGTTAATGATCTCAGTCTTTTCTAATTTGATTTCTTCTTGAATCCTTTCCAGTTGTTTCACATGATCTTTCAAATGACAGGAAATATCTTCCTAAACAAAGAGTTCCAAAAATCATGTTCATGATCAGTTTTAATAAATATTAAACCAAAACTGTGATAAATAATTGTATATTAAGTCAACTATACAGTCACCACATGGCAGCATATTTTCTATGGAGTTAAGTGCACAGGACCACAAGTCAGAACAAACTTGTGTGATCCTGAATGATGCTTCAGCTTCTCAGTCTGTTCCTTCTTTTGTAATTACGTTAATAAAAGTTGGGTTAGTTACTTCTAAAGACCCCTTCTATTCTACATTCAGAAGACACCATTAATTCTAAAATTAGAATTTATTCATGCCAAAGTAAAAGTATTACATTCCTATTTCCTATTTACATTCCAAAGTGTACATGCAGACCACTTTGCATCATGGAATTTGCATCCTGAGGCAGTAAGGATACAGATAAACCCATGGAAACTCACTCTGTTGTGGGCAGCCAAAAGCTCATTCTATTCAGAACATCCAAAAATAATGATTCCTTCCTCTGAACTTCTTTTGAACTTGATCTATTTCTCTTATGTTTCTCTTCTACCATTTACATACATGCCTGACTTCTCTTAACCTTGAAGGTGTCTCTGCAGTGCTTTATATAAAGGGCTTCAACAAGTTCATGGGAAACTTGCATTATCTTTCCAATCCATTTCTCCATGGACTGTTTCTATCTGCTTCATACACAGCCCACAGCAAGTGCTATAATCAACACTTGAGAAGTGAATGACAAGTAAAAACAGGACAAATGTGTATATGCATAATTATATGAAGACCTATAGTAAATATATAGGAAATAAATATTATATACTCAGATATTTAAAAAAAAAAAAAAAGATGTTTTGGGGAAGTCAGTCATGACCAAGTCCCAGTAGAAGATGTCATCACAGAAGAAATTAAATCTTATTCAAAAAAGGCTACATAGGCTGAATTTCAGGCAAATAGAACATGGGAGAGAAAGAGGAGATTATGGTAATTATTGAAACTACCTTAAAAAATTAAAGAAAATAAGTAGTAACAGGAATACCAAGAAACGGCATTGAAGCAGAGAGGCTTAGGCCTTTGATGCTTGATCCACAGGATAAGTAAAAGCTTAAGAGTGCCTCAATGATACCACCACAGGTATACTCCACAAGGGCACTGAAGGAGGGCACACAGAAGTTCCTATAAGGGGAAGAAGGGACAGTGGAAAATTCATGTGAATTTTGTGCTCCATTTCATAATATGGCTGTGTTTCCTTTAAATGTTTCTACCATACTTCTGAGCTAAACGAAGCTTCTAGGAACCGGTCTATATGGAGTCAGCACTGCAGATGTATTGGTGTAAGCTGTTGATCCCCAGGCCCGCTCGAGAAGCGTCATTCTAAAGCACTAAAGTAGGACGACAGACACGGTGAATAACCTAATATGAATGACAGTATGAATGTGTGTGCAAGGAGAGGCGGGTAGGCATCTCATGTTTATGTTCTGCGAGGTCATAATCATTTTTACAAACAACTGGGAACTGGGAAAAAAAAAAAAGTTAAAAGGTAGAGGCAAAAAACATTATAAAGAGAAGGCAGGAAGGCAGTTCCAAGATGGCAGAGTAGGGAGGGAACTTACTGCTCTAGCCCAGGAGAAGACAGTTTAAAAATTGTCATCTCAGGGAAGAGTTAGGGAGAAAATGGCAGAGGAAACTCTACCAAAATTAGAGGGACACGGTGGACCGACGTGGAGGGCGTGGATGCCCACAGCTCAGGACTCCAGCAGCGAGAGCCTACATACCAGTGCTGGAAAGTAGGTGAGACCAGACCATAGCAGCCCAAGCCACTGGCAAACAAGTGGATGGAAGATCTGTCTCTCTCTGCCTCTCTATAACTCTCTCAAATAAATAAATTAATTAAAAGATTTATAAATTTATTTGACAGGCATAGTTAGAGAGACAGAGAGAAAGGTCTTCCTTGTGTTGGTTCACCCCCCAAATGGCCGCCACGGCCAGCACTGTGCCGATCTGAAGCCAAGAGCCACCTTCTGGTCTCCCAGGCAGGTGCAGGGGCCTAAGCACTTGGGCCATCCTCCACTGCCCTCCCAGATCACAGAAGAGAGCTGGACTGGAAGAGGAACAACCGGGACTAGAACCCGGAGCCCATATGGGATGCCGGCGCTGCAGGCGGAGGATTAACCAAGTGTGCCACAGCGCTGGCCCCTATAAATCTTAAAAAAAAAAAAAAAAAAAAAAAAAAAAAGCAAACAAGACAACATCATGCTAAACAGATGATAGCTGAATGACTTCTGGTGCACAGAAACAGGAGGATTAGACCATAGGGAGGTCCCTGGAACTCTCCAAGCCAAGAGAACTTTGTTCAAAGCAGAGCTCTCAATAGGATACTGGTGACAAAGAAACCAAAGTCCTTAAGTTCACTCAAGCTAAAGATTTCACAATGACCAGAATGAAGAAAGGCATTATTCTGTTACGGTTATCAGAGATCTTAGCATGATGTTTCCACAAATGAGCGGTAGAAGGCAGTCTGGAGAAATAACCAGGGATCTGAGACCATGATACTTCTACAAAGGGCAGTTTATAAGAGAGTTCAGCAAACAGCTTGCTGTGAGAGAGTTCCATCACTAGAGGACCGTGATGAGCTCCAGAAGCCCATTCCTTTTTCTATTTCGTAAAAACAAAACAAAACTCAAGAGGAACTCAGTTAAAGTAAAAGGAACTGTTATAATGAAGTGGAGTTCATACAATCTGCTCTACTCAGAAAAGCTAATGTCCTATCCAGGAAGACATTAACAACATAATTATACAAACTTAACCTAAGTATACAAACATGTATACCCAATCGTGTCACAGACTGCTATTCCTTCCATTACACAGAATTACAAAGTCCCTGTGCTGAATTTTGTCTTGTGAATTACAATGAAACACTCATTCATGAACAGCATTCTCAGTAAACTAGGTATAGAGGGGAGCTTCCTCTATTTGAATTAAAAAAAATCAAAAACAAAAAATCCCACAGTTAACATTCATATTATAACAGTGAAAACTTGAAGCTTTCCCACTAAGATCAGGAATACGGCAAGAACGTCCCATCTCAGTGTGTTTCAACGCTGCAGTGGAAGGCCTAGTTAATGTGATAGGAAAAGAAAAGGAAATAAATGGTATACAAATTTGGAAGGAAGAAATAAAACTACCTTTATTTGTGAATGACTAGATAATCTATGTAGAAAACTTGAAATCAACAGAAACACTCTTGGAACTAATAAATGATTACAGCAAGATTGCAAAAACCAGATGAATCCAAAAAAATAACAATTGCTTTCCTATATACTGGCAATGAGCAAGTAGAATTTAAAATTAAAAACACAATATTGGGGGCCAGTGCTGTGGCACAGCAGGTTAAAGCCAGAGCCTGCAGTGCCAGCATCCCATATGGGCTCTGGTTAGAGTTCCAGTTGCTCCACTTCCAATCCAGCTCCCTGCTAATCAGCCTGGGAATGCAGAAGATGGCCTAAGATGGTCCCCTGCACCCATGAGGGAGAACTGGAAGAAGCTCCTTGCTCCTGCCTTTGGACAGGCTTAGCTCTGGCCGTTGCAACCATTTGGGGAGTGAATCAGCAGATGGAAGACCTCGCTCTCTGTCTCTACCTCTCTCTGTAACTCTTTCAAATAAATAATCAATCTTTTAAAAAAATGCACAATATCAGCCATAGCGCTGTGGTGCAGCAAGTTAAAGCCCCAGCCTGCAGTGCCAGCATCCCATATGGGCACCGGTTCAAGTACTGGTTGCTCCATTTCTAATCCAGCTCTCTGCTAATCCACCTGGGAAAGAGGCAGAGGATGGCCCAAGTCCTTGGGCCCCTGCACCCATGTGGGAGACCAGGAAGAACCTCCTGGCTCCTGGTTTCAGATCGGTCCAGCTCCAACTGTTGCGGCCATTTGGGGAGTGAACCAGCAGAGGAATACCTCTCTCTCATGCTGCCTCTGCCTCTCTGTAACTCTGCCTTTCAAATAAATAATCTTTTAAAATAAAGAATCCCTATAACTAGCAAAATTTACTGTGACTGAACATCTAACCTGTTAGCACTATGTTATGTAAAATACACAGACAAAGAGTCAGGTGAGACTACATGAGAGCCACTTACAATCTAAAAATTGGCAAATCTATCCAAGGTCATTTGGGTAAATTATCCAGTAGGTCATTCCTTGCTACTATTTTCCAAGAATTGTTTTATTTCTTTTTGTATATCTGTCAGATGGAATATTTAGGGGAAGGTTTATCTGAAAGGGATATTTTATAACTGCTGTAAAGAAAAGGAAGGCAAAAGGCAAAATGCAACATGGATAGATGGTTACCAGTTAAGTAAGAAAATGTTGGGGCCAGCGCTGTGGCATTGTAGGTTAAGCCTCCACCTGCAGCACCAGCATCCTATATGGATGCTGATTCGAATCCTGGCTACTCCTCTTCCAACCCATTAGCTAATGGCTTGGGAAAGCAGTGGAAGATGGCCAAGTACTTGGGCCCCTGTACTCATTTGGGAAACCTGGAAGAAGCTTCTGGCTCCTGAGAGGCTCAGCTCCGGCTCTTACGGCCATTTGGGGAGTAAACCAGCAGATAGAAGACCTTTCTCCCTCTCTCCCTGTCTGTAACTCTGCCTCTCAAATAATTTTTTTTTTTTTTTTGATGGGCAGAGTGGACAGTGAGAGAGAGAGACAGAGAGAAAGGTCTTCCTTCCATTGGTTCACCCCCTAATACGTGCTGTGGCCGGTGCACCGCGCTGATCCAAAGCAGGAGCCAGGTGCTTCCTCCTGGTCTCTCATGCGGGTGCAGGGCCCAAGCACTTGGGCCATCCTCCACTGCACTCCCTGGCCACAACAGAGAGCTGGACTGGAAGAGGGGCAACCAGGACAGAATCTGGCGCCCCAACCAGGACTAGAACCCGGGTGCCGGTGCCGCAGGCGGAGGATTAGCCTATTGATCCGCGGTGCCGGCTTAAATAATTCTTTTAAAAAAATTTTTATTCTCCCTCTTTGTGTAGAATACATTCATGTGGGGCAGGCATTGTGGCACAGTAAGTTAAGCTGACACTTGGGGGCCCACATCTCATATCTGATGTTGGAGTGCCTATTCTGCTTCCGATCCAGCTTCCTGTAAATGTGCTTAGGAAGGCAGTGGAAGACTGTCCAAGTACCTGGGTCTCTGCCACCCACGTGGGAGACCTGGATGGAGTTCTTGCCTCTTGGATTGTCCTGACCCAGCCCTGGCTGTTGAGCGCATTTGGAATGTATACTGTAAACAGAAGCTCTCTCTCCCTCTCTTTGCCTCTGTCCCTCTGCCTTTCAAATAAACAATTAAAAAAAAAAAAGCAAAATATACTGTAAAAGCAGGTAACTCCCTAGCTCCAATCAGGAATCTTAATTTAGATTTTGAGATAATATGGATTAAATATAGATGCCTTGAAATTGTATTAAAAATACCAGTGAGGGGCCGGCACCACGGCTCACTAGGCTAATCCTCTGCCTTGCAGCGCCAGCACACTGGGTTCTAGTCCCGGTCGGGGCGCTGGATTCTGTCCTGGTTGCCCCTCTTCCAGGCCAGCTCTCTGCTGTGGCCAGGGAGTGCAGTGGAGGATGGCCCAAGTGCTTGGGCCCTGCACCCCATGGGAAACCAGGAGAAGCACCTGGCTCCTGGCTTCGCATCAGCACGGTGCACCGGCCGCAGCGGCCATTGGAGGGTGAACCAACGGTAAAAGGAAGATCTTTCTCTCTGTCTCTCTCTCTCACTGTCCACTCTGCCTGTCAAAAAATAAAAAATAAATAAAAATAAAAATACCAGTGAGGGACTAGTGCTGTGGTGTAGTGGGTAAAGCCGCTGCCTGCAGTGCCAGAATCCCATATGGGTGCCAATTCGAGTCCTGGCTGCTCCATTCCAATCCAGCTCTCTGTGATGGCCTGGGATAGCAGTAGAAGATGGCTCAAGTCCTTGGGCCCCTGCACCTACATGGGAGACCCAGAAGAAGCTCCGAGCTTCGGATCGCCACAGTTCCAGCCATTGCGGCCAACTGGGGAGTGAACCAGAGGATGGAAGATCTCTTTCTCTCTCTCTTTCTGCCTCTCCTCTCTCTGTGTAACTCTGACTTTCAAATAAATCAATCTTATTTAAAACAAAACAAAAAACAAACAAACAAACAAAAAAAACAGTGAGCTCATAGAAATTTGATACCACAAAGGGATACTCCATGAAAAAAAACTATAAGCACTTTGGAAATGACCACTAAGGCAAGTGCCGACCCTAACATCAGTGCCATGCTTTCAAAAATAATACTAACAAAATAAAACAACAACAGAATGAAACAGTGGGGAAAAGACCTAACTCAACACCTTCAATTTATGGTTCAGGAGTCTGATGCCCACTCAGCGCAGAATCCAGACTTTGTTCTGCCTTCCAGTCTAAGGCTCTAGGACTGCATGAGGAAGGTGAATGCAGGGGCAAGGGTGGGACACACTAGGAATTCCTTCTGGTCCATCTCCAATGTAACTGCTTCAGCAGAGAATGTAGAGACTCTCAACTAAGCAACATGAAAAAGTCACCATATTTCCTACTCTTCTCCACCCATCCAAAAACTATTGCCCACTTTAATGCTCCTACACTGTGTTTGGCCAAAGAAAACATTTTTTTAAAAAGTGAAACAAAGGGGCTGGCGCCATGGCTCACTTGGTTAATCCTCCGCCTGCGGCACCGGCATCCCATATGGGCGCCGGGTTCTTGAACCGGCTGCTCCTCTTCCAGTACAGCTCTCTGCTGTGGCCAAGGAGGGCAGTGGAGGATGGCCCAGGCGCTTGGGCCCTGCACCTGCATGGGAGACCAGGAAGTAGCACCTGGCTCCTGGCTTCAGATTGGCACAGCGCTGGCCGTGGCGGCCATTTGGGGGGTGAACCAATGCAAGGAAGACCTTTCTCTCTGTCTCTCACTGTCTATAACTCTACCTGTCAAATAAATTAAAAAAAAAAAAAAGTGAAACAAAGTAAAAATTATCGAAGCTATATTTCAAATTCCATTTGCTTAAATATTCCATACAGTAGAACTTTCAATACTTTGGCATAGCTTTCACCTTTCCCTGGCCCTATTTAAGCTCTACAATTCAAAACATCTTTACATATAGAAGTAATACAAATGCAACTTGCAAAGTAAATTAAAAAAACTCTCATTTAAATACATATAGAAAGAAAATGACATACAATTATTTGTCAACAATGCAATTTTATATAGCTCTATCTAAAAGCACGGAAAAGCTTAGAGTCAGCCATTTAAGTCAAGAGTAACAACCTGTAGCATAGTAGGTTAAGCCTCCGCCTTCAGCACCAGCACCATAGTGTGCCGGTTCAAGTCCTGTCTGCTCCCCTTCTAATCCAGCTCCATGCTAATGCACCTGGGAAGGCATTGGAAGATGGCCCAAGTGCTTAGGCTTCTCCACCCATGTAGGAGACCCAGAAGAAGCTCCTGGCTTTGGATTGGCCCAGCTCCAGCTGTTGCGGCCATTTGGGGAGTGAACCAGCGGATGGAAGACCTCTGCCTCTCCAATAAATAATCTATATAAAAAAAATAACAACCCAAATCAGGATGAAGTTTTTAAGTGTGGTATGGTTTTCCTCACTCTCATATCTTATTTTTCTCTTCATGTTAAATTAATTCTGAAATTACCTTAGGGAAAAAAAAAATCAATAAAATTTCATAATACATTTAACTAATTACCTAGGGTCTTGGCACACAACAAACTTGCTACCCTCAACTTACAGTATTTTCTTCTGTTTTGAGAAAAGTAATAAAAACTTATTATGAAATATACTCAAACTTCTCAATGAGTTTAGAAACAAGATTTTCTGTTGCCGGCGCCACGGCTCAATAGGCTAATCCTCCGCCTTGCGGCGCCAGCACACTGGGTTCTAGTCCCGGTCAGGGCACCGGATTCTGTCCCGGTTGCCCCTCTTCCAGGCCAGCTCTCTGCTGTGGCCAGGGAGTGCAGTGGAGGATGGCCCAAGTGCTTGGGCCCTGCACCCCATGGGAGACCAGGAAAAGTACCTGGCTCCTGCCATCGGATCAGCGTGGTGTGCCGGCCGCAGCACGCTGGCCACGGCGGCCATTGGAGGGTGAACCAACAGCAAAGGAAGACCTTTCTCTCTGTCTCTCTCACTGTCCACTCCGCCCGCCAAAAAAAAAAAAAAAAAAAAATAGAAACAAGATTTTCTTCCCTTTTTTATACATACTTTTTTTTTTACAATACTGCTTTTTCTTAAAGATTTATTTATTTGAAAGTCAGAGTTACACAGAGACAGGAGAGGCAGAGAGAGAGTGAGAGTGAGAGTGAGAGTGAGAGAGAGAGAGAGAGAGGTCTTCCATCTGATGGTTCACTCCCTAATTGGCCGCAATGGCCAAAACTGCGCCGATCCGAAGCCAGGAGCCAGGAGCTTCTTCTGGGTCTCCCATGTCGATGCAGGGGCCCAAGGACTTGGGCCATCTTCTACTGCTTTCCCAGGCCACAGCAGAGAGCTGGATGGGAAGTGCAGCAGTGCAGCAGCTGGGTCTCGAACCAGCGCCAATATGGGATGCTGGTGCTTCAGGCCAGGGCGTTAACCTGCTGCACCACGGCCATTGGCCCCAATACTCGTTTTATCAAGTATTATCAAAATTATCACCTAAGAACCCATTCTCTAGTCTTCATTGATATATGAATTCCTAAACACTGGGAGACCCAAGAACGGCTGTTTTTGTTTTTTGTTTTTTTTTTTTCCCCAGGACAACCTCTCAGGTCTGGCCAGCCCCCTGCATGTTCATCCTTCTCAGTCTGTATTTGTTCTAAGACAACATGAACAATGTTCATAAACACCTGGCAGAGAAGGGAATAGTAATGTGAGAATTGAAAAGTACTAACCTACCAGAAGGATTTCCCAAATTACACGTTTAGGATGTACTCATAGATTAAAGAAATCACTGGCTTTTAAATTTCATTCACAATCTAATACCTACCTAAGAACATTCAAGTTTTCTATGTGATGGTTCACAAAATACCAGTTACAAAAAGTAATCAGCTTTACTTGTTGATAACATTTGCTCATTTGAAATCATCCCAACCTGTTCCTTAAGTGCAGTAACTGTAGCATCCAAATTCTTCTGTAAGGACAACACTTGCTCTTCATACTTCTTGGTGAGGCCCATGACAATGTTCTCATGCTGCTCTCTAGCTCGTTGAAGTGATTCGGAATGATGAAGGTCAACCAGTTGCTGCTTCAAGCTTTCCAGAGCCATCTCAGTTGTTCTGGACTTCTTGATTATCTAGTAAACACACATACCCATGTTTACACTATTTCACTTTATGCTCTCTATAGACTTTATTTTTTTTAGAAAAATTTTATTTAATAAATATAAATTTCGAAAGTATAGCTTTTGGATTATAGGGGTTTTTTTACCCCATAACCACCCTCCCACCCACAAACCATCCCATCTCCTACTCCTTCTCCCATCCCATTCTTCATTGATTCATTTCTAATTATTTTTATATACATAAGATCAACTTAGTATATACTAAGTAAAGATTTCTATTGACTTTAAAATTCAACAATGTTTTAATGAGAGTAGAGAGAGTCCGCCACTTTTGTGGACTTAGCTCCTTACAACATCTATAGCTGGGACTGGTGTTGTTAAATAACAGGTAAAGCCACCACCTGCAATGCCGGCATCCCATATGGGTGCCAGTTCGAGCCCCAGCTGTTCCACTTCTGATCCCGCTCCCTGCTAATGCATCTGGGAAGAGCAGTGGATGACGGTCCAAATACTTAGGCCCCTGCACCTACATGGGAGACCCAGAAAGAAGCTCCTGGCTTCGGACCGGCCCAGCTCCAGCCATTGTAGTGACTTGGAGAATGAACTAGCAGATGGAAGACTGATTCTCTCTTCTCCCTCCCTCTCTAACTCTGCCTTTCAAATGAATAAATCTTTAAATTTAAAAAACTTTTTAAATCACTAGCTGGGACCTACCAGGTTCATGGTTTTTGGAAATATTCACTGAGAAAACAGATTCTATAGTTACCTGAGGAGAGTAAAAGAGGATTGTGTGCAACATGACAGCAATGTAGGTGTCAGACAAGGAATCTGTATTGGTCCTAATGCTGTTTGCACTGCTATGAGCAAAGTGTGGGGCACCCAACTCTTAGGTCATAAAAAAATAACAAGTGTTCCGTGAAAAACTGATAAAACCTGCCATGGTCACTTACTAAAAAAAATTATAAAGGCTAGAACTGCACACTAGGTAAAATAATGGCCTGTAACAAAGTCCCACGTCCTAATCAACAGAATCTATGGAAGAAAGCACCAAAAAACAAAAAGCTATGACTATGCTATGTTACAAGACAAGAGAAAATTAAAGTTGAGGTGGAATTAAAGTTGCTAAGCTGAATTACCAAGTGGGTCTGGTAATGCACCAGGGTCCACAAATGAGGAACACTGCAGCAGAAAAGTCAGAACCAGTGAGCCTCAATCAGCCACTGCCAGCTCTGAAGATGGAAACAGGCCACAGGCCAAGGAATGCAGGTGCCCTCCAGAAACTGGAGAGGCAAGAAGATGGATTCTCTGCCTCAGCCTCCAGAAAGCAGTGTGTCCCTGCTGACATGCTGATTCAGCCTAGTGAGGTCTCCGGTAGACTTCTCCCTGCTGGAGATGTGGGGTAAATTTGTCTAGTCTGCAGCCACTAGCTCTGTGGTGATCTCTTGTAGCAGCAATAAGAAATGAATACATTTGGTGAACCTGATGCCTTTATTTTTCTCTAAGTGTAATTTCTAACACAGAAGGCTTACAAAATTATAATCTTTGACTATTGAATGCAATTTAACTTTAAAATCTAAACTGTTTTTTCAGTTTTCAAAGTTAAAAACAATCTATATTATACACAAAACTTAAAGTTTCCTTTTTCAAAAGATTATTTATTTGAAAGGCAGAATTAGAAAGGGAGAGACAGATCTTCCATCTGCTGGTTCACTCCCCAAATGGCCTCAACAGCCGGGACTGGGCCAGGCAGAAGCCAGGAACCAGGATCTCCATCCACGTCTCCCACTTGAGTGCCAGAGGCTACCTTGGCCATTAGCAAGGAGCTGGATGGAAAGTGGAGGATCTGGGACTTGCACTGGCACTGACATGGGATGCCAGCATTGCAGGCAACAGCTTAACCCACTGCACCACAATTCTGGCCACCCAAAACATTAAAATTTCAAATGAGGGGGTTGGCATTGTGGCTCAGTAGATTGGAATCGGGACACCTGAATCCCATATTGGAGTGCCTTGGATTCAGTCCCACTTCTGATTCTTCTAATCCAGCTTCCTGGGAAATCAGCAAATAATGGATCAAGTCCTTGGTTCCTTGACACCCATGTGGAAGACCCAGATGCAGTTTCTGGCTCTGGCTTTGGCCTTTCCCAACTCTGGCTGTTGCAGGCATTTGGAGAGTGAACCAGACGATAGAAGACCAAGCTCTCTTCCTCCCTTCCAGCACATCATGTCACCATGCCTTTCAAGTCAATAAATAAATGAAATTTAAAAAATGTTTCAAGGAACTGGCACTGTGGCATAGTAGCTTAAGCCTCTGCATGTAGCTTCAGCATCCCATATGGGCAATGGTTCTAGTCCTGACTGCTCCACTTCTGATCCAGCTCTCTGCTAATGGCCTGGGAAAGCAGTAGAAGATGGCCCAAGTGCTTGGGTCCCTCCACCTATGTGGGAGACCTGGAAGAAGCTCCTGTCTCCTGGTTTCGTATTGGCCTAACTCCAGCCATAGCGACTATTTGGAGAGTGAACCAGCGGATGGAAGACTTCTCTACTCTGTCTGTCCCTCTGTCTCTAACTGCCTCTGAAGTAAATACATCTTGAAAAAAGTTTTTTCAAATGAGAAATATTCTATTTCAGAGATTGTCTATTTATTGCTAAGATGGTTATTCATTGCTAAGGTACTATTCACTTGCTCAGTAAATAACATAGTTACTCTGTGCCAGGGGAGGCTCTAGGCACACAACCACAAGACATAGATAGGTCTGTGGTCTCTCTACTTTCTGGTGGGAAAAGACAAGTCAACAAATGAGGTCATTTCAGGCAGTTCTAAACTATGATAATAGAAAATATATCACGGGGCCGGAGCTGTAGCTCATTTGGTTAATCCTTTGCCTGCAGTGCTGGCATCCCATATGGGCACCAGGTTCTAGTCCCGGTTGCTCCTCTTCCAGTCCAGCTCTCTGCTGTGGCCCGGGAAGGCAGTGGAGGATGGCCCAAGTGCTTGGGCACCTGCACCCACATGGGAGACCAGGAGAAAGCACCTGGCTCCTGGCTTTGGATCAACATAGCGCCGGCCGTAGCGGCCATTGGGCAGTGAACCAACAGAAGGAAGACCTTTCTCTATGTCTCTCTCTCTCTCACTAACTCTATCTGTCAAATTAAAAAAAAAAAGAAAGAAAGAAAGAAAGAAAATATATCACGACAAAGGCAATAGGAGTGAGGAGCTATGGGCAACTTTACATTTAAGGTAGATGGGAGTAGATGGGAAGTCCTCTATGAAAAGGTGACATTTTTATCTCAGACCTGAAGGATGAAGAGGAGCCAACAAGGACACTATTGTTTAAGCTCTAACTAAACTCTCCTAACTTAGAAATCTCACCCAAAACCAAGCTCACTGTTTTATAATCACTGAGTTCTCATTCCCCTCTTCTCCCTGCAAAGCGGCACTACCCTCACGAATCACCCGCTATTCAGCCTGGCTACATTTCAGGTGTGGCTTTAGTGTTCCCAAGGGTCCTCTGTGAGTGCAGGCTTGACCTCCAGGATGGTGGTACTGAGAAGTATTGTGGAGCCTACTAGGAGGACCTCAGGTCACTGGGCATGACCACAGAGGTCAGTTGTGGGACTCCCTGTAGTTCTCAATAGGACGCTGTCATAAAAGCCTGAGTTTGGCCAAGCCCAGCCTCTCTCTGGTTTGTGATCACTTTCCCCTCTCCACGTTCTTGCCATTGCCATCGGCCATCTACTTTGAGGTCCTCACTAGAACTGAGCTGGTACAGCTACAGTGCCCCTGAACCTCCAAAACTGGGACTTAAACAAACATCTCTTATCTTCTTAAGTAGCCCACGTCAGGTATTTTGTTATAGTAATGCAAGGCTGACTTAACACAGACTGTTTTCAAAATTCAAATATCTCATTAATCAAATAATGTGTCACCACATTAAAGGCCAAGTCTAATAAACAGTTCTGGAAATGTTAAGAAGCTAACAGAATTTCCCCACCCCTCCCTAAAACACACACACACACACACACACACACACATATTCTCAGGATAACAACACTGATGAGAACTGTTTAGGGCAGGAAATATAGATTTTGATGCTTTGTCAGTAACTCTCTTCATATCCTTGGGCAGGTAACTTGACTTCTCTGAGACTTGGTTAACTCATCTATAAAACAGTAAAATACAATATCTTGCTAATCAAACTTCCAACAAGAATTTATTGAAAGAATGATTGTAAAAGCTACAAGAGGAAACATGAACAACACTTGTAAATCTTTGAACAGTAAGGATATCCCTTCTCTACCAAATCTCAAAGCATGACATAAAGCTACAAGTCATGACAGTAGCCAAACAGGAAACACGAGTAGAAACTAGTTAAAGGGCGTTTGCAGTAAGATGACAAAATCCTAAAGGACAGAAACAGAAATCTGTTAGCAGAACTGAGCAGCTGAAATCCCCAGACACGTGCAAGCTGCAAGGTGACTGTAGCAACGCTCTGCCAGAGACGAGGCTCAGGGTAAAGCAAGATAACCAAGAGCAAAGTCCCTCTACACGGAGTCTACCCTACCCTACTTAACGAAAGTGTAGTTAAGTAACTGGGACTCAGTAACCCTTTTACCATAAATAGTCGAGTTAATATATTTACCTTTTTGGCCGGCACCGTGGCTCAATAGGCTAATCCTCCGCCTTGCAGCGCCGGCACACCGGGTTCTAGTCTCGGTTGGGGCGCCGGATTCTGTCCCGGTTGCCCCTCTTCCAGGCCAGCTGTCTGCTGTGGCCCGGGAAGGCAGTGGAGGATGGCCCAAGTGCTTGGGCCCTGCACCCCATGGGAGACCAGGAGAAGTACCTGGCTCTTGCCATCGGATCAGCGCGGTGCGCCGGCTGCAGCGCACCAGCCATGGCGGACACTGGAGGGTGAACCAACGGCAAAAGGAAGACCTTTCTCTCTGTCTCTCTCTCTCACTGTCCACTCTTCCTGTCCAAAAAAAAAAAAAAAAAAAAAATTTACCTTTTCTTCATTGGCTTTTAAGGCTTGTATTTGGGTCTCCAGCGTTTTTATCTGTGCTTCCAGCTGTACTTCTCTTTCTTTTCCATTCTGAAAGAGTTTCTGTGATTCTCGAAGGCTGAGGCTCAATCCATCCTTTTCATCTACAGCATTAAAAACAATAAATAATTAATTTAATAAGTATATAATCTGTCACTGTGGAGGCACCTCAATTGTCACACTCCCTTTCAGAAAGATAACAGATCTACATCATACAATTCAGACAAGTGAACTTTGGTCAATTTAGGGAAAACCAGATTTTAAAAATGACAAACACAACAAACAAACAAAACATCTGAGTAGCACCAAGAAAAATTTTAAGAGAAACAGAACCACTTCCTTTAAAAATATAATTGTATCCTTTTAGGGGCCTAAAGATTTCCTAACCATGTCAGCATTTACCTAGGAAGTCACATATACCTGCTAATCAATGACAGTATCTGAGGACCAATTCCTTCTTAAATATACTTCCAATAAACTCTTAAACTCACCTAATCATAAATTCTTCCCACATACTTTGCTATCACAAGGTCCATATTTTCTCTCAAAATAAATTTTATGAACATTACAGAATGAGACCTTCCTATTACCAAATTTGAAATGAGCTAGAGTTCAGTCACCAAATTATTCTACAAATAAGAAGTTCAACATTAACCAAAGCTGCAGAAAACATGAAAAGTAAGCAACTATAATTTGCATCTGTACTGTCTCCGTGTGATTATCCAGATGTCACCATATCCTCTTTGATGCATCTAACGCAGTTCAGGATCTTGAACTCTTACTGGGATTAAAATGGTTATGCTAATTTGTAGCTCAGAAAACATTGCATTACAAACTAAATACAAAACACTCTGGCAATTGGAATACTTCATCAAATTTTAAGGACAGAAGGCGTTCCATACTTCATTCACTATATTCATTGAGTCTATCAGCCCAAGAGAGAAAAGGGCAGGGGAGTAAAATGACAGGAAAGAAGAAAGCAAAAAAATGAGGACTGTCAAACACTTGCTGTATGTTCTATTGTGAAGAGAAGTAATTCAAAGGAAGGACTCAGAAGTCCTGGGGATTTGTTTCACTCTGACTCTCTACAAGTGCCTCAACTCTCCTAAGCTTCATATTTGAAACGAGGTTGCTAGTCCGAGATATCTAGCTCTAGTGTAACTGGTCTGCGACTGCACCCAGCGGCGGTCATCTTACCTTTGATCATGAGAAGCTGGTGATTCAGATACCGAATCTGACGTTCACTTTCATTTAACTTTTCAACTAAGTTGTCTAGTTGTCTCTCTTTGGCTTTGTTAAGAACCTGAAGTTGAATAATCTGCATATTTTCTGCAGAATCCCCTTTGGAATTAAATATAATTTATTAGATAAAAATATTAAAACTTATGGTCATTTAGAGCAGCGTTTTTCAAGCTGTGGACACAGCTTATTAGATTGTCATGAAATCAATGCAGTCAGTAGTAGCTTTTTTTCTTCCAAAAAACAGGAAGGAACAGAGTGCATTACGTAGTAGGAATAAATATTATTTTATAAACCTTTTGTTTCACATATATATTTATTTATAAAGATACATATTGCTGCCCATAACACAATGCTAAAAAAAATACTCTTAACTGTGGATCACTGCCAGAGAAGTTTGAAAATCACAGTTTAGGGTACAACCCTGGAACACTATCATTTTTGCCAATTAAAAATCAGTATACAGGGGCCAGAATTGCAGAGCAGTGGTTAAGCTGCTGCCTACAATTCCAGCATCCCATATGAGCACTGGTTTGCTTCCTGGCTGCTCCACTTCCAATCTAGCTCCCTGCTAATGTACCTGGGAAAGAAGTGGAAGTTGGAACAAGTATTTGGGCCCCTGCCACCCACATAGGTGACCCACATGGAGTTACAGATGCCTGACTTTGGCCTGGCCCAGACTCAGCCAATGAAGTCATTTGGAGAGTGAACCAGCATATGAAAGATCTGTCTCTCCCTCTTTCTCTGTAATTCTTTCAAGTAAATAAATAATTTAAAAAATTAAATATAGAATAATTGCAATGGAATGCACTCTTATAAAGTTAAAAACAAGTACATCAGATTCTATAAAATCATTTTTTTCTAAAGAAAAGTCTAGATCTGCTTCTCAAAATATTTTCTTGGGCAAGAGTGGGAATATTTTGTACAGGAGAATTTCAAAAAGACTATAAAATAGAATTAAAGACAAGTTTGCTTGTTGCAAACATTTTTGAAATTCAGGCATAGATTTCATAACATGCATTTTTCCATGAACATTTTGAGGACTCCTTGTATTATTTGTTAGAACATAACTGCTAAATTAACTAATGAGTCAATTATTAAAGAATCTTAAAGTATTCCTTCAGAAATAATTAAGTAATTTTAGGAACTACTTAAGAAAAAACTAGGGCCAGCATTGTAGCACAGTGGGTAAAACCACCACCTGTGATATCAGCATCCCATTTGGGCACCAGTTCAAGTCCCGGCTGCTCCACTTCCAATCCAGCTCCCTGCTAATGGCCTGGGAAAGTAGTGGAAGATGGCCCAAGTGCTTGGGCCCCTACCACCCACGTGGGAGACCCAGAAGAGGCTCCTGGCTTCAGCCTGGCCCAGCCCTGGCCAATGCAGCCATCCAGGGAGTGAACCAGCAATGGAAGCTCGTTCTCTCTCTCTCTGTAATTCTGATTTTCAAATACATAAATAAATCTTTTTTTAAAAAAAGATAAGACTAGGGATGGGGAAAAGTCCAGTACTGTATCCTAACAGGTAAAGCTGCCACTGGTGATGCTGGCATCCCATATAGTCACCAGTTTCTGTCCCAGCTGCTCCACTTCTCATCCAGTTCCCTGCTAATGGCCTCTGGAAAGCAGCAGAGAATGGCCCAAGTGTTTGAGCCCCTGCCACCCACATGGGAGGTATGGATGAAGCTCCTGGCTCCTGTTTTGACCTGGCCCAGCTCTGGATGTTGTGGCCATATGGGTAATGGCCATCTAGAACCGCTCCCCACCATCAACTCTGACTTTCAAATAAATAAATAAATCTTAAAAAAAAAAAAAAAAGACTTAGGAAAAACTGAAAATAATGATCACTAAGAGAAAGATACTGCTTCAACTACATAATAAATATTCATTTTCTACTAGAAAACTGCTTCTGTAAGCTTGCCACCAGTAATAAATGCATTTACTGAGTTTTAACTACCAGCTAAGAAAGTAATTTGTTCCTTTTTTAAAAAAAATTTCAAGGCCAGCGCCGCGCTCACTAGGCTAATCCTCCGCCTGTGGTGCTAGCACTCCGGGTTCTAGTCCCGGTTGGGGTGCCGGATTCTGTCCCGGTTGTTCCTCTTCCAGTCCAGCTCTCTGCTGTGGCCCGGGAAGGCAGTGGAAGATGGCCCAAGGGCTTGGGCCCTGCACGCGTGTGGGAGACCAGGAAGAAGCACCTGGCTCCTGGCTTTGGATCGGCACAGCGCGCTCACTGTAGCGGCCATTTGTGGGGGTGAACCAACGGAAGGAAGACCTTTCTCTCTGCCTCTGACTCTGCCTGTCAAAGAAAAAAAATTTTTTTTTCAGAGAAAGAGTTCAGTCTTCCATCTGCCAGTTCAGTCTCCAAGTGCCTGCAACAGCTGGGGCAGGGCTGGGGCTGAAACCAGAGGCCAGAACATGATCCAAAGCTTCCATGCAGGTGGCAGGAACCCAACCATTTGAGCCATCACCACTGTCTCCCAGGGTCTGCATTAGCAGGAAACTGGGGTATGAAGACAGAACCAGGAATCAAACCCTGGTACTCTGACATGCAACACAAGTGTCTTAAACAGTAAGCTAAATGCCAGCTCCTAGTCAATCCTCTTTTTTAAAAAGATACAAAATTTTTAAAAACTGGGACTACCATTGTGGCATAGTGGGTAAATCTGCCACCTGTGACACCGACAACCTATTTGGGCACTGGTTCATGTCCCAACTGTTCCACTTCTGATCCAGTTCTCTGCTAATGTGCCTGGGAAAACAGCAGAAGATGGCCCAAGTGCTTGGGTCTTTGCTACCCACAAGAGACCAGATGAAGCTCCTGACTCCTGGCTTCAGCCTCACTCAGCCATGGCCATGGCGGTCACTAGTAGAGTAAACCAGTGGATGGAAGATCTCTCTGCAACACCACCATCCCATACAGGCAGGTTCAGGTCCCAGCTGCTCCACTTTGAATCTAGCTCTCTCTTTATGGCCTGGGGAAAGCAGAAAATAGTCCAAGAGCTTTGACCCCTGCACCTACATGGGAGACACAGATGAAGGTCCTTGTTCCTAGTTTCAGCCTGGCCCAGCCCCAGCCATTGCAGCCATTTAGGGAATGGACTGGCAGATGGAAGACCCTTTCTGTCTCTCTCTATATATAACTCTGCCTTTCAAATAAATAACTTAAAAAAGTAACTGAAGACTGAAAACTTCATTATGAAACTCCTCTTAAGTAATATAGCAGGGCTAGACAAGAAATTAACAGTCTCCAAGCCTCAAGTGTCTTCAAACTCATTTTTAAAAACTACTGCTAAGACACTGTAATCACCAAATCTGTTACTACCACCAAGTTATTTAATTCACTTCTACATGTCAAATGCAGGCAAATATGTAACTGCCTCACGTAAATCTACTTGATTAAATACGGTCTGGCATGAGAAATGATGAAAGGCCACAGATGCAAAGACCAGTAGATATAACTGAATAAAGGGAGTAAAAGAGTAAACACCAGGGAGATGTAGGGCCACTTCTGTGATTCGGATTTACTCAAACTGAAGCCAGTTATGCCATAAACACTGTCCACTTCCTCATTCCACAAAAGCTTATCTACAGAGGCCACCCTCACATTTGCTATTCATGCGTTTAGGAGAAAGAAACTCCTAAGCCCACCCCCCCCATAAATGTCCTGTGTCCCCTGTATATGATGGTAGCAATGCACGAAAGTCCAGTGTTCTCTTTAACCTCCCCCAAATAACCCTGACTATCCAGGATGACTGCCCTCTCTCAATTAAAGGAAAAGCAAAACAAACACACAAAAAAACTTGCCATCACACTGGCTCTTCACTCAATACAATAATTAGAGTTTACTTATATGCCAGAGAGTATTGACAATAAGGTTAGATATACAAAAGTACTAATTTAGAATAGTTACCATATAACTTTTGGCCTTTGGTTTTTAGTTTTATGATATCAGTATTTCATCTCAAAATTCTCTAGTTAGCTGTAAACATTTCTGTCATTCTCACATTTTTATACAAATTATACCAAAGAATTTTTTGGAAAATATCACACAATTGAACTTGAGATGTAAGGCTAATTCTGAATCTAAAGTAATTTTTACTAAAAGCTGACTAGTTATTATACTGACAATATTAAATTACATTTCAATAGAATGAAATATCAGAATGAATGGAAAACTATTTTCAGAATCTGACTTCACTTAGAAAAACATGAAGCTCATGAAAAGTGTCAATAAACTATAATAACAAATATATAGTTAAGAAATTCCTTTAATTTTTTAATATGTAAAACCTCAAATTTGTAAGAGAATAGCACCATGAATCCCAAGAAACTATGCCCCTGATTCAACAGCTAGCAACTCCTGGACAGTTCTGTCTTACCTATACTACCACCCAACATTACTCTCCAAAACCATTTTGAAATGAATCCTAGATTTCAAATCAGCCTACTTATAAATACTTCAGTATATATCTCTAAAAACATGGGCTCTTTGAAATATCACAATTCTTTTCTCATAATTTTAGATAGCCCCCAATTATTGTACTAACAGATAAATATAAGTTTGATACCTACTTTCATTAACTTCTAAAAATTGTTGTTGCAGGCCTTCAAATGTGTCACTTCTTGCCACCTCCTGGACTGGTGAGCCATTATTCTGAGCTGAAGACTGAAAAGGTTTATATGTCACTTTGTATGATTCCAAAGCTGGACAACTGGGACTCTGTGATGAACCAAGATGCTATTTTAAAATGACAAGTGGAATTAACAATGAGGATTTAGCCATTTCTTTCAAAACTACCTGAATCAGACACCTTAATTTTATGTTACAGAGGTTTCATGGCAATACAATTACAAATTTTATATACATATCCTTGCTGGAAAATAGTATTTACTGTTAAACAGTTAATTGAAAGCCTGTAACATATAATTTAACAACTTAAGTTTTACTTTTGAGCACCTAATGGAACCAATTTCATAAAAAGAATTCCAATGAGATTTTATATGCAAGTATTTTATTACAAATGACTTAGATGCCAACATCTTTGGAACATAAAAAGGCACATGCTCATTAACAAGAACATGTGATATAATGACTCATAGGTAATACATGCTCACTAACTTTTGTGGAATGAACAATATTATTACAGACAGAATTAAGAGAAAATGACTGCATTAAAGGACATTAAAGAATTCCTGTCACTGGGTGACATAGCAAATCTATTGGCAAAATGAGGCAGTTATTGTCATCAAGCAATTCTAAGCAGCAACTCAGAATATCCTGAGGTCTTACTTCATTAGACTCTCTCACATCCATCCTGTCTACTGCTCTATCACCATTCAGAAAAGACACCAGTTTTGAACACTTCACCTAAAATTTTATGTAAGAGTGGTGAGAAGAAAATTGAGGAAACTAAATGTTGTCATCTACATGGAATTACTGCTTTAAAAACCATATCAAGATGGGTACATATAGATTCTCACTGAAGCACAGTAACGTGGCAGAAGCCAGAAACATCAGTTAATGAGGAAGGTTAGGCTTTGGTAGACTTTTTTGTTTGTTTGTTTCTCCCGCCACCATAAATACAAGTTTAGGAATATAGAGGTTCTTCCTACCATACCCACCCTCCCACCCCCACACCCTTCCCACCTCTTCCTCCCTCTCCCATTCCTAGTCCCATTCTCCATTAAGATTCATTTTCAATTAACTTTATACACAGAAGGCCAACTCCATTCTAAGTAAAGATTTCAACAATTTGTGCACACATGCACGCACACACACGCACACACAGGTGAACTTAACTTTTAATGCTTATATAACCATTTCCATAAAGCTTCCACTTTGAACTTCTGACTTAGGATCATAATTGCATTAGATTGTAAACAGAAAAAAAGCAGGACTAATTCAGCATGAACCTGAATAAACTTTTGTAGTTAAAATAAATCTTACTGTTACACTGACATTTCTTAAACACACACATGCCTCAGACAAATACCCACACACACATATCCTTTAAAGTCAGATTCTTACAGTACCTGAAAATGGTTCCTCTGAGGATCTGAAAACGTAATGACATTGGTTGGCTGGCTATTGAATTCCTGCTTCCGACCACTGGTGTATGGCCTGAAGTTCTCAGGAAGGCGATATAACTCAGTCTGTTCATATTTACTTGGAGGACTGTACCCACTTCCACCTTCATCTCCGCCTTCTTCAGGATGGTACTCAAGATGTCCGTCTTCAGTTTTGCTTCTATTTTCATATAAACCCTGAATTTCAGTACAGTCCTAATTAGATAAGTGAAACAAAAGCACTAAGGTCTATTCCCACCCTCAAAGTCATCATCACACCAGACACTTACATTTACACTTTGAGATTTGGGCAGCACTTGATGCTCGTTCCAGTTCGCCTCCAGCTGCTCAGAATGATGCGGTCTTCAGAAAAATCAACACTTTAGATTTAAAGCCTTTCATTTATTTGAACATAGATAACACAAAGAACCCCAAGATTTCAACCTTCACCCAGTTTCAACTCTACAACTCTAGCATCATGTAAGTTATCATTGCCTGACGTGCAACAAAGACCTAGCTGAAATATCCAAGTAAAAGGAATGTCAGGTCCTTACTGTTGCTCCGTGCCATCCTCACTGCAGTCCGAGTAGTGGAGCTCGGGCGAGGAGAGGTCATCGTCCAGCATGTCATGGGGAAGGTCCGTGAGTAACTGCTGCAACTGAGCCGGGAGAGCCACATCAGTCTCACACCAGCTTAGCCACCAGACGCCAGCCACGGCTGTCTGGGACGCGGTGATGTCTGACTGAATAGGAAATCCTAACTGCCCCACCTAATTCATTCTCTAAATAACGCATAGTTAGGGTCCTCAGTTCACTTGGGGAAAGGGAAAAGTAAAATATCGGGATTTATATTAGGCACCTTTTTTTTTTCCTACGAAGGTATTTAAATGCACATACACTGCAACAGAATTGGAAAACTTCTTTCTGGAACTACAGCAAGTCACACTAATGGTACAATCACTGTATCAGGTTATCAAAGGGCAGACTCGAGTCTCCAAATCCTGTTTCACCAGTACTCAGACCTTGGGGACTTGACAATCAGACAAACTGCAGGGAATCTGAGAAGCCAGATGCATTTCGCCCAGGTGGTGAGAACAGCAGCCGCAGCAGGTGGCCTTAGAAGCCTTTAAGCTCTGGCAGTGTGAAGGAAACCCTTGGGGAGTACTAATTGGTAGACAGCCATCTGATCCCAATAGTGAAGACACACAATACCCTGCTCTTATGAAACATGTGAGTACTAGGAGGCTTAGAAGATTCAATTTTGGGCCGGCGCCGTGGCTCAATAGGCTAATCCTCCACCTTGCGGCGCCGGCACACCGGGTTCTAGTCCCGGTCAGGGCGCCGGATTCTGTCCCGGTTGCCCCTCTTCCAGGCCAGCTCTCTGCTATGGCCAGGGAGTGCAGTGGAGGATGGCCCAGGTGCTTGGGCCCTGCACCCCATGGGAGACCAGGAAAAGCACCTGGCTCCTGGCTCCTGCCATCGGATCAGCGCGGTGCGCCGGCTGCAGCGGCGGCCATTGGAGGGTGAACCAACGGCAAAAGGAAGACCTTTCTCTCTCTGTCTCTCTATCTCACTGTCCACTCTGCCTGTCAAAAAAAAAAAAAAAAAAAAGAAGATTCAATTTTCTGCAGATAACATCCTCAACAGCATTACACTAAAATGACATTTTAAAAGTTTCACTTCACACTCCAATTTTTTATAGAAAAATCATTTTTAGCATTCTAGCAATAAAAACTAAGCAGACAATATAAACGCACTGAAGTCACAAGATAAACTGTGAAAAAGATGAGTTTATTGAATCTCCCTATCTCCTTTCTTCAAATTTCAACATAAAGTACCTTAAAATTTGTAACAATCATAAGATTCAAATATTACATAATTCAAATAGCTTGTAGGGGACTTGCTATAATGACTTCTCTTTAAGAAACTGAGCACCAGTCTAACAAGTATAATGTACATGAACTAGTCTCACAGATTTACACAATGGGTAAATTTTAAAGGCATTAAATACTCTGTAAAATATTGTAGAAAAAAAATGATATTCTGTCTCTCTCTCTCTCTCCCCCTCCTTCTCCATCTCCCACCCTCTATGTAACTCTGCCTTTCAAATAAGTAAAAATAAATCTTTTAAAAGATAATACAAAAGGGGAAAGATTGTGATAGACACACTCCTGGGACATCAGCATCCCATATGAGCACTGGTTCAAGTCCCAGCTGCTCCACTTCCGATCCAGCTCCCTGCTAATGCACCTGGGACAATAGCAGAAGATGGCCCAAGTGGAAGATTGAGATGGGTTCCAAACTCCTGACTTCAGCCTAGCCCAGCCCCAGTCATTATGTCCATTTGTGGAGTGAACAAGTGGACAGAGGAAGATCACCCCCACCGACTTTCAAATAAATAAAAATAAATCTTAAAAAAAAAAATTCTCAAATGACGTGCATCTCAGTCCATGGCAGGTTTTCTCCCCAATTTCTCTATACTAGTATAAAAGAAATGAACTGTAGTTATAAAACATCTAAGAGTATTATTTTTAGAAGTTTAAAACTTCACTAAACAAGACATATGGTAAAAGTTAAACAGACATAACCTAAGAAAGATCTGCAAAGAATGTCCCAAGCTGTTCACAGAGTTTCAGTGAACAACCTGGGAATGGTATGGAATAAGAGAGGTGAAGAGAAGATACTGCCTCACTCCCATATATTTTTATGATGTTCACTTAATTTTTTTAAATGGGGGGGGGGGGGTTCTCAATCCATTTGATTCCTTCATGATGGAACAAGAGAAAGATGAACAGTTATCTTCATCTTTAAATTTGTTTGATACTGCTATTAACAACAGAGGCCCAGCTCAGGCAGAGTAGTTGAGAAGTCATTTTGAGAATTGGACATATCAGACTGACCCAAAGATATAAATGACAAGAAACACAAAAGAGAACACATCAACATACTAATGTATCATGTGTCTCAAGTGGAAGGCAGCAAAGCAATTCTAACAGACACAAAATGCACCACACCAGAAAAAAGAAATACCCATGAGAATTTTAAGAGACTTAAAAGTAGCCCAACCTGTTTTACCTATAATTACGCATCACAGCTCTGAAGAAGAAACGATCCCCACATATTACACAGGGAAAAAGAACACCAAAGTAAACCTTCCATACTCACCTCGTAGGGACTCCTGAATGGAAAGAACATTTTCTTCCAAACCTTCAGCGAGGTTCAAGTACACAGCCTCATCCTCCAGGGGATCCTTCACAGGCACATGTGAACAGCACACTTCCCTCTCGCCTCCCCCAACTAAGTCAGAAAAAGCTACCTGACAATTAAGCAGTTATCATACCTTTCTTTGTGACACCCATGAAATTAACAAACCCGGCATCTGTGGTAGCAAATTCACTTGAGTGTAAGCAATCAGCTGATCAAAATGCTCCGGATCTACAGATAAACTTATCAACTCGGAGAATCGACACAATAGTATTAGAGTCTTGGAAGATATTTTACATGTATGCTAAAGTTTTTAAATAGCTTAATTCACCTCCAAAAAATTTCTCCATCAAGTTCTTTGGCATAGCTAAGAAATATTCTTTGGCTTCTGTAACTTTCAGGGCAGAGAGAAGCTACATGAAGTCAAGTCCTGGTAATAACGCCACTCAGGAACAACATCCCACCTCCACTGTTTCCAGGTCCCAGGATCAGAGTGTCCCCTCGAGTACACTGTAAATTGACTGGGCTACTGGTCACCGAACCTTGTGTTGTAAAACACAAAGCTGCCCTATTGACCCATAAGGGTTATCAGGAAGGAAGGAAAATTTTAGAATCTGTAAATTTTCATCATTAAAGTTCCACCCAAATTCCAAATAACAGATTCAAGAACAGAGAGAAGTCTTCATAAATGACAAGACTTCATCTCACTCTAATTCATCAGACTGCTTTTTGGTTGCAACTGGCAATCTTCTCAGTGGGGTATTATTGACTGTCAATTGCACTGAATAATTTAAGAGATACCTTCTTCAGGAAAAAAAATTTGCTATGATTTTGGCTTCTATTGAAATACATTCTAAATCACTCTATAAACTCCTCTCCCTTTACTGCTTCCTAAAGAGTAGGGGGAGTGGGCAGCTCCCTCAAATAGCATTTTCAACAAAACACTTTACAAGAACCTATGTTGGGCAGCACCCCCACACATACCTCAAAAAAGAAAATCTATGTTCAAAGGAAAATGTAAAATACACATGTAAACCTTACTAGGATTACCAATTTAAATTAACAGACTGTCTCCAGAGCCTATAATCCCCAGTGTTGAAGAAAGCAAAGTTCCCACATTACAAACCACAGAATGCACCTTCTCCCAAGAGAAATGAACCAAATGGAGTTGCCAACAGTCATAATCCTTTAGAATAGGTTACCACCTAAGCACACTCCTGAAAAGATTCTGACATTTTAAAAACAGAATTATAAAATAATGCTTTTGTGGATACACATTAAGCAGAATCTTTATTTTAGCCAAGAAGCGACTTTAAAACATCCTTAAAGGGGTACACATTTAGCCTGGTTGTTAAGACTGCAGTTGAGAGCCCCGTGTACCGCATGGGACTACCTGAGTTCAATACCCGGCTCCGGCTCCTGACTCCTGACTCCAGCTTCCTGCTAACAGAGACTCTGAAAGGTACTGGTGATGGCGCAAGTAGTTGAGCTCCTGACACTCACATGAGAGACCTGGATTAGGTTTCTAGCTTTGGGCTTCAGACCAGTCCACTGCAAGCCTTTAGGGGATGAGCCAGCATATGTGGGAGTGCTTGCTCTCATGTGCTCGCTGTGTGTGTGTGTGTGTGTGTGTGCATGTCTGTCTCCTCTATCTCTGTGTCTCTGTCTCTTAAATAAATAAAAAGTTTTTGAAAGAACCTCACACTTGAAAAAGCCCATCATGAGATTGATAAAGGACCAAAATGACTTGGCAGTTAGCCCTTTAGTTTAGGAATTATGCTGAGTTCAGAATATTTTACAAAAATGCATTTCATCAGCTAAACAATTTCATAGTGTTAAGAGGAAAGACCTTGTCTGGGTTGCCATGTATATGAAAAGGAAATATGGCAACATTTAGTAGACAAGTAACAGCTGCACTGCAGATGACAGATGATAGAATTTTTGGCCCAGAAGGAACAGTGGAGTTCCTGCAAGCCAAGCCTTCATTTCTAAAGGTGAGCACAAAGCTCAGAGAAGGGTTGAGCCAATGAGAGCAGGCACCACAGCTTAAATCTCCCCATTCTCACTCTTCTCCTCTAGGTGGCATTTAGCCAGTCACTGTAAGAGATTTACTTCTACCTCTATGTATGTAAGCAAGCTTCAGTACTAGCAAGCAACATTCAATGTTTCTATCCCAATTGTGACAGCCACTGACAAGTACCTATACCATATGAGGAGAAATTCACAAAGCATAATCTGGATGAAGAGTAAGAAACAGCTAAAGAAAAACATCAGGGGAAAGAAAAAAAAGCCTGAGGACTCAACCATTTGTTTCTTGGACTTTGTAGGGGGAAAACAAGAAAATTCCACTCAATAAGTCAACTAATACAGACTGTAAACAAATATTAGCTTTACAACTCCCTCTAGTGGGGACAAAAGAGCAAACTGGAGCCATTACTGCATCAAGCAAAGCAGTAAAGAGAACAGAGTTATGCAGTGCAGATTCTGTTAGGGAAATACTAGTATGAAAACCAGAGAGGGATGGCACTGCCTCACAGTGGGTTAATCCACTGCCTTCAACGCCAGCATCCCAAATGGGCACCAGTTCAAATCCTGCTGCTCTACTTCCCATCCAGCTTCGGCTAATGCGCCCAGGAAAGCAGAAGATGGCTCTAGTACATGGGCTCCTTCACCCATGTGGGAGACCTGGATGGAGTTCCAGGCTCCTGGCTTCCGCCTGGCCCAGCCCCAGCCATTGAAGCCATTTGGGGAGTGAACTAGCAGAGGGATGCTCTTACTCTGCCTTCAAATAAATGAATAAATCTTACAAAAAACAAAACAAAGCAAAAAAAAAAAAAAAAAAAAAAAAGAGAGAGGAACCCAAATCAGTATTGCCAGGTACAGGGTTCTATCATCTACTCTTTAGACAAGTACTTTCTTTTTGTTTTTTTAATTGAGAACTAATTTGTAGGTTTTTTAAAGATTTATTTATTTTATTTGAAAAGCAGAGTTAGAGAGAGGGAGGGAGAGACAAAGACAGAGAGCTCCCATCTGCTGGTTCACTCCCCAATTCCTGCAACAGTTAGAGCAGGACTGATCAGGAGCCAGGAGCTTCTTCCAGGTCTCCCACATGGGTGCAGGGGCCCAAGCACTTGGACCATCCTCTGCTACTTTCCCAGTCCATTAGCAAGGGCTGGATGGGAAGTAAACCAAGTACCTTTCTACTCAAGATCATTTCAAATATACTATCACTAAATGAACCATCATCAGCAAATTTTTATCTTGATAGCACAGATTACCAAGAATTTCTGTCCCACACCATCAGCTCCAGAATAAAGCATGCACATACAGTTTTACTATCTACACCAAACAATAATCAGAGTTACTTCTGGCAACACTGCAACACTACAGAGACTATGTATATATTCCAACACCCTGTAAGGTCCCCAAGTTTAAATTGTGGCCTCATCAATAACTTATATGCTTATAACAGTCATTCCTGAGGCCAGCACTGAGGTGTAGTAGGTTAAGCATCACCTGTGATGCCAGCATCCCATATGGACACTGGTTCAAGTCCTGGCTGGTCCACTTCCAATCCAGCTTTCTGTCAATGTCTTAGGAAAGCAGTAAAAGATGGTCCAAGTGCTTGGGCCCCTGAATCCATGTGGGAGACCTGGAAGAACTCCTGGCTCTTGGCTTCAGATGGGCCCAGCTCTGGCCATTTTGGCCGTTTGGGGAATGAACTAGTGGATGGAAGGTCCATCTCTGTCTGTCTCTCCCTCTGTCTGTAACTACACCACTCAAGTAAATAAATCTAAAAGAAAATTACTTATTAAAAAACAAAAGTCAATTATTCAGATCACAAAAATAGCAACCATATCTGTAATATACAACCATGAAATCACAAAATACAGTGATTAATCTACAAGTAACATTGTTACATTATGAACTTTAAACATTTTATTCATGTAAATTTTTTTTTCATATTCTTTCTGGGCCAGACTCGAAAGCTTGCCTAAAATACTTTGGATGAGGTCTACTTGATAGTGATAGCAAGGACAGCTACATCTCAGCTTTCAAATGGAGCAGCAATATGTTGTGAGAAATCTGAGTAATGTGCGACTATTAGCTGACAGGAATCCTGCCTGGTACGATACCGTATCTCCACGCTATCATCCTCACTCCCTTGTACTCCTCACTAATCTGACAACTGTATAAGAAATGGAGTGGCAGTGGAAAAAATGTGTGTGCCATGCTTTGGCCAAACTTTTACCAAAGTACCACTAAGAGTTTCAGAAATTCATTGCTGAAATCTTTACTTAGTATAGAGTTGGTGTTCTGTATATAAAGCTAATTAAAAATGAATCTTAATAAAAGATGGGATGGGAGAGGGAGTAGGAGGTGAGATGGGAGTGGGGGTGGGAGGGCGGGTATGGGGGGAAGAACCACTATATTCCTAAAGCTGTACTTATGAAATTTGTACTCATTAAATAAAAGCTTTCTTTTAAAAAAAGTTGCAGAAATTTAGAAATAATTATCTTTCTTTTCTGCAAAATTCTTTGCGGTTTTTCAAAATATGGATCTATTCATGCTGGCCAATACCTTGATCTATTTGTCCTCTGAATAGTCAATCACTTATTTACCAACTTTTTTTCCTTTTCTGAAGATGAAATGTACTTTTTCCACTTGACCTTCAATACAAACAATGGACAGAACAGAAATGGCACAGGCAAGATCATAATTTAGAGCTGCTAATTAAGATGGCATGGAAATTGGAATTTGACAATGACTTATTCATTAAGTTATGGGCAAATGCAGACAAAAATCCCAATTGGCCACTAAGCAACAAAATGAAACACAGCTTGTTAACTCATGTGGTATTGTCAACTGGCCATCCATACTAGAAGGTCAAAATCAGGACTATCCTACCACTTACAGACATGGGTTTCTTAAATCCTTAGTAAGACTGTAAGTCAAAGGTTGTATGTTTGGCCAGCCTTATAGCACATAACTGAGGTTTCAGATTCCCACCTTAGTCAATATATAAGGATTCCTACCCCTGTTAATTAAAACACAAAGTGATTCACTATGTAGAGAAAGCAAGAATATGTATTAGCCTACTGCTAACACTTATAATCTAGCTATAATCCCAAAGCTACCAAACAGGCAGAAAAAGACAGTTGTTGCTTGCTTGTAAAATAAGAAACAGAGAAAGACAGACCAACAGAGCTCCCACCTGCTGGTTCACGCCCCAAATACCTGCAACAGCCAAGGGGCCAAAACCTGGAGCCTGGAACTCAACCCAGATCTCTTACAAGGGTGGCAGGGACCCAACTACTTGAACCATCATTTGCTGCTTCCCAGGGTTGTAATAGCAAGGAGCTGGAATCAGGAGTGGATCCAGGACTCATAATAAGGCACTCTGATATGGGATGCAGGTGTCCCAATTAGCACTGTGGCTACAAGACCAAAAGCCTGCCCTAACTCTTTTTTTCATTCTCTCAAGATTATGAACCGTGCTGCTATTGGGGCATCAGGGAAACTGAGGAGGCTAAAAAAGACTACTGGATATGCAAACAAGCTTAGGTTTGATCAGCCAATTTACTATTTTAACTTACAATGACAAAGTTTACATACATACAGCTCAATCTGTATAAGTAATTCTGAGTTTTGTTACTGAAAAATCTGAAATTCTCTAGCCCCAAATCTCACTTTGTCCCTTGCAGTAACTATTTTCTTTTAAAAAGTAGAAACCAAGGCCAACGCTGTGGTACAGTGGGTTAAAGCCCTGGCCTGCAGAGCCAGCATCCCATATGGTTGCCAGTTCAAGCCCTGGCTGTTCCACATCCAATCCAGCTCCCTGCTAATACCCATGAGAAAGCAAAGGCAAATGGCCCAATTCCTTGGGCCCCTGAACACAGCTGGGAGACTGGAAACAGCGATTTGGGGAGTGAACCAGCAGATGGAAGATTCTGTCTCACTCTTTCAAATAAATGATATTTTTTTAAAAAGTAGAGGGGCCTACACTGTGGTGTAATGGGTAAAGCTGCCACCTATAGTGCCAGCATTCCATATGGGCACCGGTTTGAATCCTGGCTGCTCCACTTATGATCCAGCTCTCTGCTATGGCCCAGGAAGGCAGTGGAGGATGGCCCAAGTCCTTGGGCCCCTGCACCCACGTGGGAGACCCAAAGGAAGCTACTGGCTCCTGACTTTGGATCAGCACAGCTCCAGCCATTGCAGCCAATTGGGAAGTGAACCAGCAGATGGAAGACCCCTCCTTTCCCTCCCTCTCTCTCTCTGCCTCTCCTCTTTCTGTGTAACTGACTTTCAAATAAATAAATAAATATTTTTAAAAATATATATTGCTAAGAAAATAATCAATCTGAAAAGACAAAAATAGAAACTTGTTATTAACATGAAGCTTCTGAGGAATGTAACCATCATGTCATGTAAGAGTCAAATTAGTTATATGTTCCTTTCTTCTATTCTGCTAGAAATACTCATTCCTAAACACTTCATCTGTTTTATTGTTATTTATTGTTTGAGAAGCAGACAAAGAGAGGAAGCTCCCATCTGCTGGTTCCCTTCCCTAATGCCTGCAACAACTAGGACCGGGCTGTGCCAAACCTGGGAACCAAGAACTCTATCCAGATCACCCATGTGTGTGGCAGGAATCCAACGACTTCCGCCATCACTGCTATTTCCCAAGGTCTGCCTTAGCTGGAAGCTGAGTTCAGGAGCTGGAGACAGGCATCAAACCACCCAACCACTCCGATAAAAAACACGAGACAAGGGTCTTAACTGATAGCTTCATCAGTAGGCTAAACACATGTCTCAACTTCATCTTCTAAGAACGCCTTTTCCTCTGGAAATTCCCTACCCCAGAATTTGATCTACCAAAGTGGTGAGCCCAGTGGCTATTTTCTGTATTATCTAGAATTAACTGCCTCCGTAACAAACACTCCCTTTGAGTTTTTCATCACATAACACACCTGGCACTAAACTCCCTCTAATACCCTATCCATCTAATAATTTCTTTCCCAATGAAAACCCACCTATCAGAATATTGTTTCTTCTTCTTTACACTAATGATTATTTAAACTAACTCTCACAAATTGCAGTGGCTACAGCCTAGCCAACTACCTAGACCGACGCAGGGTTTTGAAAACGTCATGCTGCAAGTTCACAGAGTAATATAAAATCCTCACCCACATCCTTGCCATAACAATTTTGAAGGACCCTGCCAAAACTCATAAGTTCTCACCAGGGTCAGCTCAGATGTCTTGTGGCCAGCGCTGTGGTGCAGCTGGTTAGCACCCTGGCCCAAAGCACCGGCATCCCAGATGGGCACTGGTTTGAGTCCCAGCTGCTTCACTTGTGATCCAGCTCTCTGATAGGGTCCTTGGGCCCCTGCACCCATGTGGGAGACCCAAAGAAGCTCCTGGCTCCTGGCTTCCAATCAGCTCAGCTCTGGCTATTGCTGCCATTTGGGAAGTGAATCAGTGGATGGAAGATATCTCTCTCTCTCTCTCTTTCTGGCTCTAGCTCTCTCTTTCTAACTCTTTCATATAAATAAAATCTTAAAAAAAAAAATCAAATGCCTTCAGGGACCTGGTAGAGGATGTATAAGAACACACAGTGAGTAAGTCTAAGTGCTGATGTGAGAAGTGGGACTGTGACCAGCTGGTACGGGAGGGTCCTGCTGAGCTCCAGCCCATCTGCTGCCATGTGCAAATATGGACTGGGTGTGGCCAACGCTTAGGAAGTCTCAAGACAAGCCTGAAGTTCTTTACTGTCACATGAGATTTCCAATCTG